TTTGTAAGTGGTAGTGCCAAGTTTGTAGCAAGAGCTCTATCATTGTTGTTAGGTATATAATGGTCAACTGGTATAATTTGATGATGTAAGACTAAGAAACTCAGACAGCTGTAGTGCTAAGCCAATGTATCCCCTACCTGTCATTCATTTTATCCCAAACAGTGAACGGTAAACGGGTTTTGTATGACTATCTATTCCCCGAGAAACCATAAGATGCCAGTCTGGCGTAGAGAAACTTAATATAACATTTACACATATTTAATAAATGTGATTTCACAGGAAATCCGCGTAAAATGTATTGAGGGAAAATCATTTCCCTCGTGGAGTCCAGAGTGACAAAACCCTTTTTCACACACATGGCTATCGAAAGTACGCTCCTTTTCTGCTTCAAAATTTTGAATGAGCTATCGACATCTCTGAGCATAAATTGAATTTAAAAATTGTAAAATAATATACACTTAGTTTTCCGAGGGACCATACATGAAATGCTTTGTTATATATTTAGACTATCCCCTTAGCCAATTATATGGCAAAAACAAACAAACACAGACGGCACAACCTCTTTGTTCACAATCGTCAACCCTGCTGAATGAATAAGTCTTAACTTAATTACCAATGTTTCGAAGTACATGAAGAAATAAAATATGGTTTTATAACCTCAATAAGGAAAACAAAATTATTTGTCATTGTAAAAATTGATGGTGACATTTCCTCCAGAAAATGCTCCTGCGTTAAAGTTTACAGTCTCCTGGCCATGAGAGTATTCGGCGCACGGGCAACAACTGCGCAAAAGTATCCCGGTCGGGATACATTTGAATTTGATCAGGGACCAAGAATCAACCAATCACAGTGCTCGTTTTGATGAGCGGAAGTCTCGGTATGTAACAATGGTTTATGTCCCTGAAAATGTAATCCAATAATACACTTGCGAAATAAAGAGGTAAATAAACACGTAAATGAATAAATAGGAAGATCAGTGAACGCACGTAAAATTTAAAAAACTCGCAAAACAAATAATTGAATATACTGTTGAAGGTTGTATCGTTAAAAGCTATCTCATGACAGGGAAGTCGCATTTTAGACTGAGCAGTGGAATCCTATCGTTTGTACAAACTCGCTTTATTCCTCAAAAAAGCGTGCTCCCATGTTTCGAAAAAAATGAAAATAAATCCCGTTAGAATTTCGCTATCTTTTTAAAGGAAAAATCGCTGGCCAGCACCACCCCGCGCTTTGATCATCGCCCAGAAAAAAAATATATATTACCAGGATCAAACACGGCCTGAATATCCTGAACATATTGCATTCTTAGCCCATTCAATACTAGCAAAAAAGAAGTACGCACTATTTCGCTGGTGAATCAAGACCCAAGTACTCGGAGATGCCGAGCAACGCAAGCACAAAAATGGAGTTCACCCATTTGGAAAACGAACTGAAAATCCGGAATTTTCGTTTTTTCAAAGAATTCAGGGAATTCTTCCAATATCCGAGAGTTGTCCTCATCATTTCAAACCAAGGTTACGCTTGAATTTTTCTCGTTGTTAACCACACAGATAGCACCTGAAAACCAGATTGCATCCTGTTCAACAATAGTAATTTCTCCTGACAATTTTGCCTTTTCGTAGGATTTTTCAATCAGCGAGCATGGGTTTTGTTATATTTTTTTCAGACAGCAAATCCAGTCGGAAAACACCAGAAAACCAGTCAGCAAATTCATTAATCTTGACCCTATTCTTTGTGAGAGAGAATTAATCACAGCTATTGACGGTCCATCTCTACTATACCTACGACATTTTGAAACTAGATGTGAAAGAAAATTCCAAGGCTATTACTCCAGTCCAGGAAAAAAAGACCAAATCAATCCAATATAATGGGGAGATCTACCACTACTTTGTAGAGTTAACCTTATACCAACAGGGCTCGTTTCATTTAGCGCCAGCGCTTAGATTAGAAGAGGATCGATTATGTGGAGTCAGGTGATTCAGAAGTGAATGACTGCATGCGACATAAGTGGAAATTAGGATCACTGCATGCAATCTTAACGGAGAGTGACATAAAAAGTAGTGATAAATCTTATCCTTCTGTCATTAAGGACTCTTGCATTTTTGAATATTAATGCTCTACATCTATTGTATAACCAGACATACGTGGTAGGAAGTATATTCGATTGATTTGTTCGCAAAGAAAAGGTTAGCAACTTAATGCAAGGTTATGATCATCGAAAACTCAAACGATTTTTGGTTGGAGATGACACAGCTGGATTAATAACGAATGACGACATTTTCCCGTCACGTCGCTTCACCAAGTCTTCAACGTTCAATTTCAGGAAAAGCTCTCAATCTCTGCACAAAAATTTAATGTCACATTTAAATAGTCTGAGGTTGATTACAGATACAAAATCGTTGAAAAGCACAGCCACCGCAACTGTTACAGGGGTATAAAATTTTCAATGACTTTAGACCTGTTAGAAACGGTTCGGTCACCTTTAAATATTTGCTTAACACCATTACTGATAAATTTTAATCACATCTCGTTACAAAGCTGCTAGAGCGAATTTCTCTTTTAAAAATCAATAATCAATTCGTGAACCTATCATTTTTCTTTTTTTTTTTCTCTGTAGGTGATAACGTTTTCGGAAAAAAATTAAGATTTTAAGAGTGTCTGGGCAAAGTTAGAATTTATTACTAATTACACACTTTGTTTCAATTTTTATAATTATTTTTCCGGCGGTGACCTAAACACGCACTTTACGTTCTGCGTGATTGATTTCTATTTAACTTGGTAAGTAGGATAAACTTTAAGGCAAGAGATACTCTCGGATTAAAGAAAAAGTAGCTCGGGAAGATCAAGGGAAAATTTAAAGTTGCTGAAAAAATTTTACCCGACAAAACTTTACAGCGGGCCAAGGACAGCACATTTTAGTAACAAAATCTTTATTGGCAAAATTGACTCAAAGAAATTGAGATAAAGAGAGTTATTGTAGAATCCCTGAAGTATATTTTGATAAGGCAGAAGGGAAATTTTGTCCTTCCATTTGCAAAAAAAAAAATACAAAAGCAAAAGAAAACCTCTTAATTGTCACGTCGCAAATGTTTATGTGTTTTGTTATAGTAAGCAATGCTAATATGGCACATGAATTATTTTTCATGAGAACCAACCACCTGTTCGCGTATCCGAAACCAATTTTTTTCTATAGAACTGTACATTTCTTCAAACGATTTGATATTCTGTCCCAACTATACGTAAACAAACTTCACAGTGCTTGCAGACTTTGGAGTAGGGTTCGAGAATTAAAATAAAGAGATTAAAATGTACACATCAGCCCAAGTTAAAGGGGTCAAGATAATAACAATACAAAGGCTGCTCTTATGGTATTCGCTACTATTTATCATAGTTCTATTGCAAAAAAATTGTAATTTTAAAAACTTTCTATTTATTTCTCGATCAATAGACATAACTTTATCGAATAACCCCCTATTCAAGCGACTTTCAAAGAGATGCTTGCGACATGCAATTTAGCTGATTCTTTTGCTGAGAGCTGAGAACTGGTGGTACATTTTTATTGTTGAAGTCAAAGCTCATTTAACCCGGACTTTTACGATAAATTTCACTTCGAGAATAGAGTCTTGAGTTTAAAAAAAAAAAGAGCTTTACTCCCAATGAGAGTTCGAAACGTTTGTAGTAAAATCGATAAGAGGAATTTTTGAGTGTCACCTTTAAATAATTTAACATATTTCATCCGAAAATACTAATTAAGAAGAGACAAGCTCTAATAAGTTCTCGAAGGGTCAATAAAAGGTTTCATTTTCTTGATCTTTTTATTTTCAGGTGGGAGAAATTCAAGAATTCATATATACATAAATTAACGCTTTTAGCCGTTTGGTATTGGTAACCTTCGTTTTTTAATTGCTCACCTAACTAAATAGATTCTACGGAATTATTTCAGCTGTGTATAAATCAATATCGTTGAACTGCATCATGATATTTCGTTTCTTTGCTAAGTTAATGTACATTCACCACTCCGTTGGATAGGAGTGCTAGGCTATGCTTTAGCCCCCAAACAGTTCACATAAATTGTCATTTTTTTAACTCATTTACGATGAGAAGTTACTTAAAACTCCTAAATTTAGTCTTACTTTTAGCGACGTTATGGAATTCTGCAAGAGGCGCTGGTAAGTAAAATATTCGTTTTGAATTCAAGTGTTCGTGTGTTAACAACTTAAAGCTAAAATCTTAGGACCACATTCGAATTAGAGGCTGAATAAGCTGCCGTTAACTCATTAAAACTCATCTAATTTCCAGTGTTCTTTAATACCAGTTGAAAACCAAGATCCATCAATTTTTGTAGTTTCTTTTGGTGACTCCAACTTAATTTTTCTCTGTTTACTTCTTTTTTCTAATTTTATTGTTGATTAACATAGCTATAAGACCCTCGGATAGTTTTTGGAAAAATGATTATTACTCAATCATAATCATATCTCCGCAAAGTTTTATTTCCAAATTATGTCAATCAGTACACTTAGAGAGAAAGTAGCTACTTCAATACGTACGCTCCTTTTGATGAGTACATGTATACTTTTCATGCCTAAGCAGATATTTTTGCATTTAAGACCCTTTGGAAGGCAAAATTCTTGTTCTTTGGTTTACAAAACAAAACTGAAAAGGAATCTACTACCAAATAGACAAATAGTTTTTATCGTTTGATTAGCTTTTTCTGTAGAAAAGTAACAAGACTATTTTTCTGTCCATTAAATTTCTCTAAATAAAATTATAGTGAATATGTTTTTTTTTAATTTTACATTAACACGCAAGAAAGATTCCAACAAACTCTTTTGTCATGTTCACAAAATTCCGCCTCCTTTATTACTGAAATCATACTGATGAGGAAGATTCTTTCAAAATATTTTTGTCGATGATACATCATCACGTTGGCTTCATTTGGCAGCGCGAAAAACACCTACGGTTTGAATACATCCTATACAAACATTTTAACGTAAAAAATTTTAACTTAAATATCTTCTTTTTTTCTCTTGATTATTTTCCTCAATGCCTAAGCAATGAAAAGGCTTAATATAAATGATTTAATCTTTCACGATACTAAAACCTTATGCAAATGTGTTTAGATTCTTTCATTCCTTAAAAAATGTTTTTAAATCGCGAACTTTCCCTATTTTTTATTTTTTTTGCCGCTTGTGCTTCAGTGGATGGCGGTTGGTCCGGTTGGACTGCGTGGAGCGGCTGCGCAGCAGGTGTTTGCGCGGGAAATCAGCGAATTCGAACAAGAACTTGCACTAATCCCATCCCGACTGAAGATGGGAAGTACTGCGATGGAGATAGTGCCGAGCAGTTAGATTGCCTGAGTGAGTATTACGCCAAAATTGTCATCTCTGGTTCCAACTAATTCTCCCGATTTCCATCACGTTATGCGACAGAGCCACATGTAAAGAAAAGAAAACTTTTTGCCCATCACTGGGGGTGACTAACATCTAATTTCTCCACACAATATCTCCCCTGAATCACACCTTAAGTTCACAAAAAATGAAGGGAATTGCCACAAACTAAAGATTGATTGTTAAACCAAATCTCCTTGTGAGCACATTATGGAGAATATGAGTACTGATGTTAGGTTGTAAGGGTTAAAGAACAGGGCCGGGTTGTTCAAAGTTAGGTTAAGATAACCCAGGGTTAGTGTGAAATCTGATTTCCGATTTGACAGTTTTAAAAGAAAATTCATTCGAATTCTTTTTGTCTAGAATGTGATTATTTGGTGCTCTAAAAAGAACACGGGAAACTATCCCGACAAGGCATTTGAATAAAGGAATAAAGAAAACCAGATTAAAATTTAACCTTGGGTTAGCACTAATCAACCTTCGAACAACTGGGCCCAGAGTCGTAAACTGGTGACAGCAAGGCTCCTACGACGCAAGAAAATTCAAAGTTTACATTAAGTTAAAACTTAAAGTTTTTTCAGTCCATTTTCCCATATACCACGTTAAGTGAAAATGTTTCCTTTAGAAATTCAACCAGAAATCCCCGATTTTCGATTTTGTCCTTTGTTAAAATGTTCTCCAGAACACTGAAAAAATTATTACCTACTTCAAGCTCTAAGGGACGAAATGGAACTATAAGAAAGAACTTGAACGTTTGAATCTGCTATAAAATTAAAGCATTGCCTTTACATGTTCCTTTATTATGACACACAGTATCTATAGCCTATTAACACACCTTTAAAAATATCATTGCAGTCGACGGCGGTTTTACAGAATGGAGTCAGTGGTCTCTGTGTGATAACCCGTGCGGGGGATCTGCAGTGAACAGGTCAAGAACGTGCACTAATCCCACCCCTACTTCAGACGGACAGCCTTGTTCTGGAGACACATTTCAAACAAAGCTGGAATGTATTTCCCCATGCCCAAGTAAGGAATTTGATATCCTGTCAAAGGTGCTCTCTTTCAGCTCCAAGGTTTCAGAACGAAGAATTCTAGCCGAGTGTACCGTTTTTACCAGATTAAAACCCGTGATGTGTGATGAAGTTGAAGCGTTCTGATGTGGCGTTTATTTCAAAAACATTTTTTTTAATAATAACCGGAAACATAAATCATTGGAAGATAATATGTTAAGCAGAACATGCTTTAAGTTCCAATGTCTAGCATTTTTGCTGCGAAAGAATCGCTAATTTTGGAATTTTAATTCAAAGAGGATGAATTGAGGAATCTTATCCCCCACACATACGCACTTTTAATGATAATTTTTTCAAACGTAATTTTCACACGCGTTCCTATGGCGCAGCTATTTTAAGAACTACAGTTTATTGGTTACTGAGTCCGTGATAAAGTTTGATGTGTGATGTTTGGTAGATTGCAATTGGCGCAGCTATTTTGAGAACTTTGCTTCATCGTTCATTTTGATGTGGTGACGACATTTTTTGCTTAAGCTGCCGTTGGCATGAGATGTGAAAGCATTTCCCCTGGGCTCTTCTCTTAAAGGCATGAGTTTGTACTCTCACTATACTCTATAATAATAATTTATTACTTATATTGCGCAAAATACATGTGGATATGGTCTAACGCGCTATACAATAAGACTAAGCAAAATAAAATATGAAAACGAACTATAAAAGGCTAAGAATATACAATTTGACTAACTAAAAACGAACTATAAAAGCTGACATGAAAAATGCCTGTCTAAAGAGATGTGTTTTAAGAAGTGTTTTAAAGCAATTAAGATCATTTACTGCTCTTATATTTGATGGCAATCTGTTCCAAAGTTTTGGAGCAGATGCCATAAATGATCTATCACCTAAAGTTTTCTTAGTTATGGTCCTGGGTGGCAATAATTGTAGTTCAGACTGAGATCGTAACATCATACGTCCGAATTGTTGCTTAACGTTAACTAGCTAGATCCGTAATGTAGTGAGGTGCCAGCCTGTGGATAGCCTTGAACGCTAAAATAAGTAATTTAAATTCAATTCTAAAACTCTGCAAGATAATCAACGTGGAAGAAGTTTCAGGCGAAGGTTTAGATGGACCAGAACATTCTGCAATCGTGTATTCAGGCAAATTATCTTTCGGGTTATAGTTTAAATAACAAGAGCGATTTCAAATGCAAAATAATTCATTTTGTAAGATTAGCTTTTGAATCGGCTTATTCTGCGTCAGAAACTTTCTGTTTCAAAATAGTTCAAGGCTTATGAGCTGTCGTTTTTGACGACTTTGCGTTTTTTTTAGCTTCCCCTCTTGACGGTGGATGGAGTTCCTGGTCCCCTTGGGAAACGTGTTCCAAGACATGTGGTATATCAGGTGGATCTGTTTTACGCAGAAGTAGGATTTGTAACCAACCACCTCCGATGAATGGCGGTGCAAGCTGTCCTGGTAACGACACGGAAGTGACTAAAGCTTGCTTCACACCATGTCCAGGTAAGTGAATGCTTTCCTCTACAATGACTTGAGGACAAAATGTTCTCAGTTGCTATATCATTCACTTACCTATATATCAATTTTTCATTAATTATTTCTATTTTCAATCAAAAAGTAAAAATCTCCGCATCAACTAATTCATTTCTTCAACTTTTTATTTATGTGCAGTGGATGGTGGTTTTGGCTTATGGTCAGCTTGGTCAGCTTGCAGTGAAACATGTGGTACTGGTACCCAGTCTAGAAGCAGACTGTGCGACAGCCCTGTTCCTGCCAATCAAGGTCAAAATTGCAGTGGTGACTTCGATCAAGCCAAAAGCTGTAAACTAACATCATGCCCTGGTAGGAAATTTTAAACGAGTAATGAGTTCAGCAATGAGAATAACAAACTTTCAAAAATGTAGTGGAGCACTTTATTAGAAAGTCTTACGAAATGTCACGCCGGTACCAACAAAGTATTAACCAATCAGATTGAGAGAGATTACATATCGGGGTCAAATACTCAAATGTAACAAATCCGCCTCCAGCAAATCATTTTCATGCTGTCGTTCTATAGATTCTTAAATAATGAAAGCACACTCATTTACAATACTTATGAAGGATTAATGAAGAAAAAAAATAAAATTCCTATCCAGAATCCATCTAAAATACAATATGTTCAAATCGGAAAAAAAGGAAAAAGTCAAATCGAATAACAAACTGCAGCTGCTGTACGAACACAAAATAATCATCTCATACCTCGACTCGCTTGTCAATTCTTTTTAATGCTGAGCGATCAAAAATATTTTTCCAGGTGCTGTGGACGGCGTCTTTTCAACTTGGTCTGACTGGAGCACGTGCACAGAACCCAAGTATTGTCTTCAAGGTCACAAGACACGAACTAGAACTTGTACCAATCCTCCCCCAGCAAATGGCGGAGACGAGTGTGTTGGCCTCGCACAGGAAAATAAAGATTGTCCCACACAGGCAGATGGATGCTCTGGTAAGAAAAAGTTCTAGTATAAGAAGGTCGATTTCTTTTCACAGGGATGATCACATGAATACAACACTCAAAATACCTCAATTGATGTCAAACATTGCAGACAATTGAAAAAATTAAATCGGTATTATTTTTTAATACAAAATTAAAGAGGTTTCTAGTTAAATTTGGAACGGGTAAGGACAACAAATACATAACAATTTTCACTAACTCTACCGGCTCGCGCTACGTTTTTGAGTCTTGAGCTTATTCAATCGTTGAATCATTACCTGTAAAAATCGCATAGCCACGAAAACTAAAGAAAATAAGACCAGGACCTCTTAGCAGGGTAGAAATGGCCTCGTTGATGGTGCGCTGTGCCTCTAATCGCAAGGACCATGTTCGAGGTCTAGTCACTTAATTTAGAAAGCGTTCCAGCTTGCAAAGGCTCTCTCCGCACAATTATGAATTGGTATCAAATGAGTAAGGAAAACCTGCTAATATGCTGAGTATAACAAGCATTAGTTAGCATTCTAACCAGGAAGGAGTAGGTAAGGGTACATGTCAGCATTTAAGACAGATAGTCTTTCTGCCTTAGCTTATTCCAGTCTGTGGCATGAGGCGAATAGTTGCTGTAGTGCTTCTCGTTATGAAAAGGATGCTAGTCCTTCTTTTGTTGCAGAGTTATAGTCATAAAGGATGAGTTTTTACGAAGCTCATTGATAGGATACTCAAAATTCATTGGGCATCTTTCGTGTGATTGCACCTGACCCGTGGAATAGCACCGAGTGGCCAACATATAATAGGAATCCATAACTCTCTTCTTCTTCTGGTAATATGTTTGTTACTTTTATTCTTTTTCATAGTGCCTCAGCCGGACAAACCAGACAAAACAGCAGCAGATCCAAATTCCTGGATTGGTCTCGAATGTACAGCAACGGAAAAATTCTCAGCTACTGGAGCTTACAAACAAAACGTGCCTTTTGCTGTATATTCGAGCTTTTCTTTCATCAAATCTGAGCTGGAGAGTGGATGGTTTGCAATTCTAATCGAGCCGGACGACAAGGATGATTATGGAAAAAAAAATCTCACCAAGGTTTGTGAACTGATACACATTAACAAGGGTTACTGGTTAAGAAACCGATAGGCATTAGACTACGGGTCGATTTGAGTATTTCATTTAAAAATGAGTGGCACGTGGATTTTGTATCCCTAAGGCTCAGGTAAGCTTTTGGGTAACCACTTCAATAGCCACTAAGATCGCGTCGCATACGACCCATTTTAGCGAGTCATCCATTTCCAGGTTTCTCTAATGTAATAAACCTAGAAAACTGATAAATTCGCCAAAATGGGTTCTTTTCAACATAAAAAGCGTTCAGGTAACAAGCGATGCACTGTGGAAGTAAGGTGAGGTATTTTATTGAAAATCTGACTTACTTTTTTATTGCTAAGAGCGGTCGTAAATATTTCCATAAAAACTCTTATAATTTCTCTATGACTCTTATTTCGCAAGATGATCATCTCAGAGTTAGAGCTTGGGCCGCCTGTGATTTAAGCAAATCTAGTTACGCTGACTATAATATTATGAAAATTTTCGCTTTAGTGTGTTAATAGTAACCGACTAACGTACTGGATTTGTTCTATTTATGTCCTGTTTGCCTACTTTACGCCATTTCTTCATAATTTCTTTGCATGTCAATTTCCTATCCCCATTCAATTGTCCAAAAGTTTAAGTTGGTTGTACACAGATCGAGCACATCTTTTGTTTTGGTTTTCACACATTATATCTGAAAGAATCAACGGGTAATTTTTATTTCTCAGTCGGTTCAAAAGGATTAAATTGTTTTGATTGTCGCGCACGCTCAGTCTTGAAAACCTTGTTAACTATGAATTCATTTTTTCATAAACCATTCCTCTTCCCTTGACAGGTGTGTTTTGAGACAGTCGACCCGGTAACCATTAAGAAGGTCGTCGACAACATAGCAACCTACTACGCTCAAACCTCCGCTATTCCAGGGTGGACCAAGACCGATCAGGCAGAAAACGTCTTAGGTTTTTCTATCTGGATAGATGAGGCGCAAGCGCTAAGAAAATACGAGTTTCAGGTCGATAGATCAGCAGAATACGTGCCCATTTCCGGTTATAAGATGACGGATGTCAGGTTAGTGCCAACGGAGTAACATTTCAAACAAATAAAAATGAGGCGTCTTCGACATTTTCGAGTAAAAACTAAAAAAAAAAGGGATGAAAGTCGAGTAAATCGTGCCATAATATTTGGCACGTTTTAAAAATAATGAATCAGTGCTGAGGAAGTGCTCAACTATGTTTGCTGTGTTCCTGGAATTTGAAGGTTATAACCCGTTTCCACCCAAACATCAGTACGCATGTCGGTTCTCCATACTATGACCTACCATAGATTTCCATACCTTAGATTTCCTATGGTGATGAGAAGGAGAATTTGTTTAACATTTAAGAGCTTCTTGAGTGGGAGGATTTCTGTATTCTCCTAAATTTATTGTTTGATTCAGTGGTGATAATGTATTGAGAAATTAAATGCTAGTCACTGTTGGGGTTAAAGGGTTGACTCATGAAGTGTAAATCTTGATGCATAGTTTGTACCTTGGCTCTGCTGTAGGGATGCATCTCATTCATTCTTGCTTGACTTTCAGGTTCTCGTACTACACAGAAGGAAACTCTCAGACATTTAAAGCTAAGGGTAGCTACACACTGGATACAGGAAATGTTTTTGACACAGAAGTAAAGAAAGATGTCAATAGTGGTTCAGTATACGCCAAAGGAAAGGCTGATTCTGGTACATTTATGGACATGCTGTCATCATTTGGTATCAATCCCAATTCTCTTCCAGATTTCTTCGTCAATGCCCTAAAGTACGTTTCATTCATACTTCGACCGTTTTCTTTTCTTTCTTTTTGATAAAGGGGATAATTTTCTGAAGAACTGTTGTGCTGCGTCTGTGGGGGTATAACAAGAGAAATTGGTTTTACAAACTGAGTTGATAACGTACAATCCACCATTAACAGTTTCTAAGCTGATGTTTCAGGCGTTAGCTCTTTGTCAGAACCCTTTTTAGTTACGTATATTTGGTTGATTTTCATCATTTTCTTTTGGTAACTGCACGCCTTAAAATCTGAGACTAAAATGAAAATATTCATCTCAAATACGCCGGTATCACAATACATGTTAGTTAGGCACTAAATATCGCAAGAAATGTTACATGAAACCAAGAAAGAACCTGTTTATCGGTGCATCTCAACGTTTGGAGTGCTTTCACTGCTGATTTCCTTTTCCCTTTTGCAAATCTTTTTTTTTCGCTTAAAGGGGAGCAGGATTATGGGATTTTACCATGAAGCCTGTGGAGTTGCTGAGAAAAATTGACAAAGTCGGCGTATATCGTTTCACTGGATCAATCGACGCCGGCGGCGTGCCCATTCACGTCGAGGTCATCACAGGGTACAGATTTGGAAGACCAACGTTCGCTGTTGGATTTTCATTTGATAGCGAATCATTTGGTGCATTGTCCGAAAAACTGTCAGGAATTGGAGTAGATTTCCTTGATGCCATTGGATTGGAGCTACAGGTAAGCTTAGTGAGAATAACTATGTTCAGGATATCATACAACTCTTGCCAACGCTTTTAGGAGATATTTAGACAATTTGAATACTTCACTCGTTTTGATGCTCCAAGAGTAACCGAATCATAAGGGGTTTGTTCTCGATTGTCTTAAAAATTCGAGTATGGACGATGACATCAATAACAACTGCAACGACAACTACAGCAATAACAACAACAACAACAACAACAGCAAAAATATTTACTCTCTAATGAATAAGAATATCCCTTCAAACCCTGCGTCTTTTAGTCATAAAAGCAGTTTTCGTTATGTCCGCGTTCTTTATTTTTGAGCAAAAGAAAAGCATAGCACAGTTCCTACGAAGACAAGGATGATTACTGATGTAAACTCCAAAGAGGAAAGGAATTCAGAACACGTTGTTGAACTCGTTGATGAAAAAGAAGGGGTAAAATAAAATCGATTAAAAAAAAATGACCGCATCCATTTTGAATGGTCTTTTCTGTTGTAACCTTGCCTTTGATTCAGAAGCACTGCATTATTATTATTACCTTTTTATCGCCAAGTTCATACTTGAGGTAACCATATGAAGCATTGATTTCCTACCCAGTTGATAGAAATGTTTCCTTCCTTCAGATTGGAGTATCTTTTCACCCAACTGAGGAGATAGGATTTCAGCAAATCGTGACAGACGACGAGACTAAGTATTCCAAAGAGCCCCTCCACACTCAAGTGACAACCACTGTTCCAAAAGGTTAGTAATACCTACAAGAGCCATTTTCAATCATATTTTCAAAGTCATCCGTTGTATTTTTGTGATTATGGTCCACAAATCTCACGCCATTCTCTTACCAAATCAGACGCAAAACCAAAATCAATCATGACTTTTCCTTCGTTTTTGGTGGTTTGCCTATTTTTAGTTTGAGAGCCCATTAGTGAATAAAGATGTAAACCTTTGTTATGATTGTCCGTCGTGATTACTTTGGTTTTGGTTTTTCGATTGTCAGTTGAAAACTGCTCTTCAAGACTTCTAGCCTAAGATGTGGTAATTAAACCTTTATATCTATCAACCACTCCCTTCTTCCTCAAATCCCAGAGGTGATTGACGTGAAACGATATTAGTTGCATGGAGCCCAAACTGAGGCATTATCGTTTTTCTTATGCTGGAGTCACTCCCAATCAGGATTCGAACCATAGTGCCGAGTTATTAACATTGTGAAAAGGACGATGACTCTTCTTAACTCATGTATTTACCACGATGAATACCATACTCTTAGTTATGTGATTTAAGTTTGTCCCGCTTGGTTTTTTCTCTATTTTTGTTCCATTCCTTACATGTGTTTTCGTTCCATTCTTTTTTATTCAATGCTAATTAATCGGGGCATTTGGTATCACTCACACATTGCTAATATTTTAAAATCTATCTTTACAGGGATCTTTGCAGCAGCACAGCTGGTTCTACCGAAAGATTGCAAAAGTAACAAAATGTGCGAAATCTCTAAGATGATCCTAGGCCCCACAGTACAGTTTTACATCACTGGTCAGTTTGAGTGGAAGAAAATACGAATAGCCACAGGCTTTGCTAATATCCGACTTTGGGATGGGCTCTACTTCCATAAGCTAGAACTCTACGTAGAGGTAATAACTGACCTTAAATAATTTCGTAAAGTTCAAACAAATTGTTCTATGACCGACATATCTATAGAGAATGCTTCTTTATTGTTTTATACAAACGTATCCGCTAAAAAATCCATCCCATGGCGGACACCCAGGGTCATCCATTTGAATCGAATGATCGAATGCAAAAAAAGAAAAACAACCATTGATCTTGAAATGAATCTGCATCAAGGATTAAAAGGAGTTGTGATTCGCCGGTTTCTCTTCGTTTTAATTTTTCGTTGTACATGTATTTTCATTTTCTAGGCGGATTGGAACGAGACAACAAAGCATATCAAGTTGGGATTCCGCGCGGATATTAAAGTACCTGTAAACGGGGAAATTGAACGTGACGGTATCATAGCGCCTAACAACGAACTGTTTTTGTTTGGTGTGTTGGAATACGACTTCTTACAAACACAAGTTGCTGGAAAGCTGGGAATGCGTGGCATGTGGAGGAAAGCTTACACCATTCCTTGGCTCTCATTTGGAAACATCTTCGTTGGGTAAGATGTATTGAAAAATTAATTACTTTTGATGGAGCCAGCTATGCTTGGCAGTGAGAAAAAAACATCACTTGTATGCTTCCAGAATGGTTGCATTTTTTTTTTAACAACGACCACAATCTGCATATGAGAATCTATCCGATGATCGAAGTTATTGCGTTCTTACAGGATATCCTTAAAATCTTTCGGTAAAAAAAACCTACAAAACCACAAAAACGCTCATAGCGTGGAAACCTACACCCTAAATGTTTCTTTAGTGGTGTTCTAAACTGTATGCAAATATAGCAAATTATTTAACGACCGAGGAATGATAATGAGATAAGTGATAAGTTTATTATTACTTTTAACCCAAACGTGGGACAAAGAAGAAAGGTCTCGGCTTCCCTCAAGACACCGCGTCTTGATTTCGCGATCTTTTATTCGACCCTTGAGCGCCAGACAACTCGATTGTGAGTTAGCAAGCGTTCGGCATACTCTTAGGAGCAGAAACATTGAAATCATCAAGTGCGCAAATAGAATAGTTTCCTTATTTGTAAACTGGCTCAGCTACTCTCTGGTAATCCCGTTCACTGACCGTGATCTGCAGCGACAAAAGTGTTACTCCACTGCCTGCCTTTGGCCAGTTGTTTTAATGCCTTTCTCTGCAAGTCTCAGTAGAGTGCCAACATGTATTGTTAACCAACCATGCTAAAGCCAGCCTAAGGCTGTCAAGTAAAATGATCTCGTGGTGTTGAAATAATTTCCCTCAATGTTACTTCCTCGCTTAACTAGATCGCCTCGGTTGTTCTTTGTTTTCTTATGAAGCCCAGCCTGCTATGAACAGCACTCTTTGATTTCGATCGGTAGGTTGACGTATAAGGTCGGCGCGCCAATACCCGTCACTGGTGTACAGTTTGGAGCTCGAGTCGAATTTGGAGTCGACTGTCTGATACCAGCGGATTTTAACAACGACGTAAGTAAAATACATAAGAGTGTACACAATTTCCTCAGAGTCTTTACACAATTTGAAGCTATACTCTTTTTCTGAGTAGACATTACAATCTTTCTTTAAAAAAACTAAAAAATTTCGGGCTTCGATGGCATTCGACCCCGTGCCTCCAAGAGACAAAATACACACTGTCACCAATTGTGCCAGGAAGCAGCGAGATGGCAGCAGACCCAAACTGGTATTGAGATGTACGGGTTCGAATCCCGTCAAAGCCTGAAAATATTCAGGCTTATTCGCAAAACGCCAAAAATCAATCCCAAAAGCTGGGTCAATTGTCCGAGAAGCAGGTTTCATTTCATTTTGTGAAATATCGTTTAAAAAAACATCTGTTATTTGAGTATTTCCAACACAAGCATTGGCTACTCCAGATTCAAATAATTCATATTTTGTGTATCACTTAGGGTCACTGCTTTGGTGGTAGCGCATACATCGGTGTCGGTGAACCACAGTTCTTCTATGCATCAATTACCGCCCTAACATTGGGAAAGATAATAAGGCTTCTAGGGTTCACCTTTCAACTTCCACCCCCAGTCGCAGAATCAGGTTTTCCGGAAGGAGCTGAGGTGAGTCGACTCATCTAAAAGAAGTTTTATAAGGATATTTCGAGTAGATTCTATAGTTATAGATTTTGCAAATCGCCTTCATTCATATTTTGTCCGTGGGAATTATTGTTTCTTCTAATTTCTCCAAAAATGCTTTGTTTTATTATTAACTAACTTAATTTTTTGGTATAACTAGTTGAGTAGTTTAGACTTGTTTTATCATTTGAAACGCAACGTTTTCCTATCATTCGAAAAAAGAGTTAATTTTGAGTCTGAGCATAATGGCACGACTTTAACAACTTTTTTTATGAATCATATTCGTTCACAAAGGAAATATTTTCGTTTAACCCCGCAAACAGCTGACAGCAAAAAGGAAGAAATTCAATTCCTTGCCTGAAAACATTTGCTCAATTGACACTTTCGACCAAATCAAAGTAAAGTCCCAGCCAATTACCTTACATTGTATTATAGGTTGATGATGAGAATTCAGTTTTAGATTAACCCTATATAAATAGCTCCCATTAGTGATCAAGACAGAATTTCTTTAAAATATCAATGCAGTGTCGTGTAAACCAGTAATAAGAACAAAGGAAACTATAAGTTGGGGGATTATTGGTTGATCTGAGACAAAATTCTCCAAACGATCATCATAACAATTGTATGGCAGACAGTAAGGAGAATTGCTGAAAACATCTTGGGAGTGAAAGGGATGATACCCCAGTAAACGGTCATTGTTAATACATTAAAGCAGAAGTATAATCAATCTGTGAAATTTCAGTGCGACGTTTCAATATTTTCAGGGTTCGTATTCTACCGCTGACGTTGATTTGCGTATCGCTGGTGGACCATACATTTACGAAGGATTCATGATCAAAGGACGGGTCAACATCCTCGGATGGGAAATATACGCTCACGTCAAATTGTCATCAAACGTTAGTTAATTATTTCTTGATATTATTTATTCATTCGCGATATTTAGACAGGCTGGCCCAGTTCAGCTTAAAGCTGTGTTAAATAGGGGCCTAAAAATAACAAGGCCAGACCACAACACCAGGAGTACGTTCCAGAACCCTTTGCGGGAGGTGGTAGGTTCATTTACGTCCCATGCTAACAAGTACAGAGAACATGAAGGAAAAGGGGCTTAAAGTTTATTGCATAGCAGTCAGGCGCTCTACAAGAAAACCAACTATTTAAGATAACGAAGAAAGAAAACTGAAAAAGTTTATACACTTATACCAGTACTGCACTTTCAAGATAACGTAGAAATTTGTAGACTAACTTGTACTTTCGAAATCCGGCACATGGAGGATAGAACTTGTTTCAATTTTTTCTAAGGTGCTCCTTGAAGATTTCTCGGTTCTACTTCCACCGAGCCTCGTTCCATAACCCTAAAGGAAAGATTAAATTGGATGTTAGCATGTTTTTTGCTAAAAATCTCGTTCACACGATTTTTGTACAAAGTGATCTTCAAATTCTTTCTTAGGAAACTTTCAACTTCCGTTTTCTATATATCAAATACCCTTTGCCATATTAACTAAGGTTAGAGTATTGTTCCAGGTCATTTTTGTGGACTTGAAGCCTGACCCAATAGATTTCTTCGGTATAGCTACAATAACTCGCAGCCCATCAGACAGCGAAAATGGACCTTGGTTCTATGTGGATGCCAGGAAGAATCCACCTTTTATTGAGGTAAGTACTTTCTCCATCACGAACTAAGGGCCAGATTATTCAACAAACTTCGGCCTTTAGCCTAACAATTACACAAACGAATGAAGGTGGGGGGGGAGGGGGTAAGTAGCTAAAGAAACTGTGGTGCTCCGTCGGTGGGCGATATTACAAGATAATTATTTTCTATCAGCTGAATTGATAATGTAAACTGGCTGCTGTAAAGACTTTCTATAGCTGACGTTTCTGCTTAATCTTTTCACGCAGGCGTATGTCGAGGGTTACACATCGATGTTGGGAATTTCAACTTACTGTCGCCTGAACCTAACAATGACTCGCATGGAGCTGCTGATCCAAGGAAATTTCCTGAACCTTATAAAAGCGGAAGTATTTTTGTCAGCAAGTTACTCTTTAAGCTTCGCTTCGGCCTCGTTTTATGTTAGAGTCACAGTGGACTTGAGTGGAATTAACGATGTAAGTGGCATTACTCCTCACCTACTAACTCTGAAACTTGTGCATCGCACTATAAAAATGTAATTTTATTTGTTTGCTATTCAGGATTTTTTGTAGATTAAATATTTTTTTTAATCAGGTCATAGGTTCAAACCATTAACATGAACTGTTACACTACTTTGACTTAAGTGGGAGACGCGACCTAATAGTTCCTGCGCTGGACTCCGAGTTGAGAGGTCTGGGTTTGAGACCTGGTTATTGTGTTCCAGGGTGAGACCCGTAACTCTCACAATGCTTCTCCTCACCTAAGAGTAACATTGGGTTCTGACGAATTGTCAGGAAAGCCTGATGAAATGCTGTGACCCTAACCTTGTCATCCCATCGGCAGGGGAATAGTATTACAAAAGGCGCTACATGCTATTGAAACTCGGATAAGCTCCGGTTGGATGAGTCACTCGGCTGCAGTAAAGACTTAACCTAAATTTAGTTTAACTTACGCTTCATCAGCCCACGCTCATTGGTTGCAATCATCTCTCTGTCAGGCTTTAGACGCAGCAGCCAAATCAGTAAAAGAAGCCTTCGATGCAGCAGAGAAAGCTTTAGCTGATGCCAGACAGTCTGTTGTCGCGAAGAAAGAGGAATGTAAAAGAAAAATGTCTCTTAAATGTGACAACTGTAAAAGTCTTAAATGCAAACAAGCTGAAAAAAATTGCAAAGGATTTTTGGATGATGCAGGCAAATGGATCGGCGGGGTTGTTGATGCTGCCGGTAAGTTCAGTTCAGACAAAATTTAGATTAGGAATGTAAAATAGCACTTATCTGCTGCTCTCCTTCATGTAAAAGCTTTACTAAAGCAACTTTTTCATTATTATTATTATTATTATTATTATTATTATTATTATTATCATCATTTTTATAATGCAAACACCATTTACGATAAAATATAACTTAAAATTCCAGCAATAGTACCAATACTTACATTCCTTTCTTCATTCTTATCATTCTTAGTTCAAAATTACATTACAACAGTTACATTCTAACCCTAAATTAGAGCAAATACGAGCACGCACACAACAAGTTTCACCGGTCAGCTCTTTAACGGGGACACAGGCTTAGGTTTCGATATCTACATCCAAGCCCATTTTTTTATCTTCTAGGAAAATGGGTTAAGAAGACTTTCAAAAAGATTGGCAAGGCTTTGGCCCCGGTGAGTAATTGTAACTGTTGCCTGGGTTTCTAATTAATTGGTTGCTGGCTATGAAAGTGGTTCTTCTCACAACAAATTTTAACCAAGTTATCTTATGAATTTTTGAAACTTTGAAACTCAATTTCCATAGCAATTCTTTTATTCATTAAAGTAAGTTTCTCTTCATCGACAAGGTAAGTTAACTTACAATGGAACGAGTATTTAAATATGAAGAACACAGTCTCGCGGAAACGTCATGTGACAGGCATCTAATACCTCCCACAAAGGAAGTCATAGGATCTCATAATTACATGGTTGTAGTTCTTGGTCTGACAAGTTATGAATGCTTTTTGAACGCGTCGTTATAAATTTATCGGTATTGAATTAGGCTATAATTATGTCATATCTATTCAAATTAGGTTGGAAAGGCGATCAAAAAAGTGTTCAAAGGTTGGAGAAAGAAGCGAGAGTTGGATAACATTCGTAATGAACAGTTCGCCATCCATCTTCGCCGTCGCCGGTTTATCAGCAAAGTTATTTGCGAAGGACTCGTTGGTGGTGGATGCTCAGGTTGGTGGTCTTCTCGTTAAAGCATTAGACACACATGTGCATTAAAGATTTGGTGTCTCGGGTTATTGTGTAAGAAGACGTAGCATAACACAGTGCTCGAATCACTATCCCTCTCTATGAGAGGGTTGCTCTCATTAAATGATTGTCCTTCCACTGCCAGCTCTCGGCCCTCTTGACCGAATCTTCCGATAAAAGATTCGGCTAACTTCAAGATAGTTTAGAACGCGGTTTTGTTAACGACATTTGCTGAATCAAACTATTTTTCACGATCACAACTGCTTTCTGTTGCCAGCGGTTTCAAGCCTGTGCGAGGGAACATGCAAACTAGTGGACCATTTAGCAAAGGGTCTGTGTAACGTGCTCGACGTTGCTATTGGTTTTCTGAAGTTGACCGAGGCTGCCACTAGATGGGTCGGAAAAGCTATCAATTTCATTTTAACGGCATTTAGAGTAAAGAGGTAAGAATGGTTTCCAATGCTATAGTATCCATCTGTCTATCTATATATCTACCTATCTATATAACTTTTTATCTATCTGTCTATCTATCGATCTTTCTACCTGCCTATCTGTTTATCTGTCTATCTATCGATCTATCTGTCTATCTAGCTGTATGTTTGACTATATAACTTTATATCTATCCGTCTATCTATCCATCTTTCTATCTGTCTATCTGTCTATCTTCTATCTCTATCCATTTATCTATCTATCTGTCTATCTAACTTCGTATCTGTCTGTCTTTCCATCTGTATCTTTATCTGTATGTGTCTGTTTATCTTGTCATCTCTTTATTGATTTATTGAACCATTAGATCATAATTTTCGACGTTTTCAATCATTTATCTCCTCATTTTTGTAACCATCAGTATCTTGATTGAATTTGCACTGTCTACCTACGCCTCGGGTGGATTTCCTGACATGATATTCACGGCCGGTGTTGACTTGGTCATATTTGGAAAGGATCTCTTCCTTGCTGTTAGCTTCAACCTTCGAGATCCAGTGGGAAGCCTAAGGGCGACATCTGATAAATCAACAGAATGGTACAAAGACAAAACGAATCAGAAGGACGCCACAGACACTGAGACAGACTATTACGACTCCCCGAACCCGTTTGTTGACCTCGAAATGTCAGGTGTGTACTTTTACCGTTTTGGACCCTAATAATGACCAGCACTTAATTCCTCTATATAATCAAACATTAAAGCCACGAAATGAAGTAAATGATCACCAACCAAAGACGCTCTTGATTATTGATCAAATTCTCCTCGTCAGCACCTTAGAAAATGTATAGAGAGCATTATGGAGAATATGCATACTGATGTAAGGGTGTAAAGGGTTAACTCTACATTTTACACGAGTTCTCTTCATGTGCATCAAACCTAAAAAGAATCCCAAGTTTCGTTCGTGAAATGTTTGAAAACAAATGAGAACATGCCACTAGCCAATGAGATTTAAAGCTACCTTGCAAACATAGAAAAAACTCAAAAGAGCAGGTTGCCTAGGTTCATCTTGGAAACCAAAACAGAAGAAATTAAATGTTCTAGAGGATACGTCTTCGTTAACCAGATTAATAGACAAAACCTGTCATGCATTATAATGCAGAAAATTTAGTTAGCCATCCCTGCTCGTTATCCATCAATTACTTACCAAGTCCTATGTTTCCTATCATTCCCAGAGCAATTCTTGATCGAAAACCAGCAATCAGCAACTGATGATATTTTCGGTCCTTGTTTGTACGTGGACTCAAAGGACGATGGTGCCCTTATCAAAGTAACGGGCTGCAACGAAACTGATGAGAGACAGAATTGGGCTTATACCCTTAAAGGACAAATCCAGGTTTGTAGTCTCGCATTGCGACTATGAATGAAATACTCAAATTCTCCTTCAATGTCTTCAATCAGAATTTTTGGTATGTTTTTTCATAGTTAGTAGGGATGACTAGCTAAGAAATCTGTTGAAATTCAGAGACAAAACAACATTGCCAAAACCTATTATCTATTATATTATTATATAATATATATTATCTATATTATTACCATTTTAGTCATTTTTTTTACTTAATAGAACACTTGGTCTGATTTGTGTATCGATACAAACGGAGCCTCTCAGGGTTCGAAGCTGATACAAACTAAATGTGACCCGGCCCAAGACGATCAGAATTTCCAGTGTGACTTGGCAGTTAGAAGTATCAAAAGACGAAGAGCCAATCAATGCTGGACTCTGGGTAAGTGACATACTAATTCAACTGAAACAGCCGCGTGTCTAAGGAAACCTCCGTTGAACGTTTATTATATAGCTTACATTTGGAGACAGATGCACAGAGGAAAATCTTCCCAACACAACGGGTTTCCATCCACTTTGAAAGAAAATAAGAAAGAATGTTTTTCTCAACCCACCGTCCATGCCGTAACCCGATTAGCTCTTGCGACAGAGCAAGACGTTTCAAATTTAAAATGACTGAGTAGACTTGATATGAGTTTCCTTTCCGAAAAAAACTTTCTCCAAAATCAAGACACACCAAGGGCTATAGGTCGTAAGGTTTCGTCTTCCACTTATCCATTGTTCAGGAGGGGACGTTAACCGAAAGAATTGGAAGTTAAACTAAAGTGTTGTTTCCAATACCGCTTCTTCAGGTTTGGTCTTCGCTAAATTGGGCTATGCTTACTAAATTAAAGCTACACATGTCTTACTTTCTTTATTTTGTTTTCTTTAATATTTATTAATTATTGGTTTATTTATATGCTTAACCACCTTTTTTTTTTTTTCGAAGGCACCACGAGTCTTGACGGACCAGGTTCGTTAGTTCACCTCGGTTCACTCAAATGTATTCACCCAAGCGGTGGTGGAACTAATGTTGTTGAAGGAAACAAGCTAGTGATCTACGCTGGATGCAGTGAGAGCAGGTGATAATTGTATCTTTTTTTTTATAGCTCATAAAGCTCACACGTCACAATCGGAAGCGAGCACAGCAAAACTGAATTATCCGCGAAACACTAAAAGGAAATTTTTAAACTGACGTAAGCCAGAAGAGCCTTATATTAATCACAGAAATAAAAAAAATCACTCAAAGTTCGGTTATCTCAGCTGGGCACCGCTGGCCCCCACCCCCTCCCCCGAAATTCTGAAGATACTGGTACTACGCTCATCAGGAAAATATACAACCGGCGCAGGATCAATTGTTTTCAAGCGGGTTCAATCTGCGTTAAATATAAACGTTTATGTTCTTTTGCCAGATTGGAGTTTGTTTTAGACAACGGCAATCTTAAACATACCCTGAGCGGGAAATGTGTGCAGCCAATGGGAGCAATTGCAGATGGTGTGGCCCTTGGTTTATATTCATCATGTGGGGGACATCAGTTTAGTTTCACTACAGGAGGATCCCTTCAACACGTCGGTAGCAAAAAATGTGTGAACACGAAATCAGGGGTATGTCAAACATTTTACTTTTAACGGAATTTTTCAAAGTTTATCAGCGCAAGGGGCAATGGTAGCTTTCTATTACATGCTCCTGTAAGGGGGAGTACAGGGGACTTCCATGCCCTTTCTTGCTGCATTCAGACCCTGGTATATGGTCCGAAACTGAAAACTAACAATAATAATAATAATAATAATAATAATAATAATTATGATGATTTCCTTTTTAAACGCGATGAGGATTTGCGCTTTGCAGCTTGTGGGGTCGCATTTATATACATAAATGAATAGATGGTTGCCTAGACAATAATTTTAAAGTAAGGCCTAGAAAACTACCTTATAATATACGATCGTAAAATAAATATCTACATTTTAAGGTCCTATCTAATGTTCAAATTTATGATTAATAATTTTACTTAACTGATGATATTTTTTAGCTGGAACCTTCTTATATTTATCAACTGAACTTGAAGGCTTTATCAAAACAGTAATCTGTTGCAAAATATTTGAACTGCACCGCTGCTGAAACCTTCAGTGTTAATAGTAGAATAATGAGGGACGACTATAAACCCTCTCTTCCAGCTGAATGAATATACTTCATTACTTGGTGGATTTACACGAGCCAATGATAAGCGATTATGACTTATTTAACTATTATTGTGCATCTGTTATGTTTAAGGTTATGCTTCCAGCAAATTCAGATGAAATTGTTTTGTCCAGCAACTGTGAAAACAGTGCCGTCACCGTCAATAAAGAACATCTCAAGTTTAGCTTCATACCAAGTAAGATGTTTTTCTTTTGCAGCAAATCAGGACATTCACGCATTTCTGTTGCGCATCTCTTCGTGTACGCACACGCTGGTCAATAATTAGCTGTGGACTTTTTTATCGGATAAATTCATGTTCTGTTCAATCAGTCTTAAAAGCCTTAATTTGTCGCCTTTACAGTTGTTGCAATGGGATAGCATAAAGGAAAATCGGGCCAATCAATGTACGGCCAAAAGCATAAAATCGAGTAGAATGTTAGAAAAGTGACAAAAGGCAGAAAATATTGAGATTCTTTATTGATCATGTGACATGCAACCCAAAAAAGATAAATTATCTTTCGTCTTAATCATCTCTTCACAGCTGATCCTTCTATTCGCTTGGACAAATGTGGATATTTTGACGCTGCCCGTCTCGACCAGAGATTTGAGGTCATGGATGAATCAATTTTAAGCATTTGTAGCAAGTTCTCCAAAAGTAAGTGGCACATGAATTTAAAGAATTACTTAACGTTCTACCCCCTACTAAATCTCGCCAATATCAAAACGTATATCTCGCTCGAGACGAATGCCCTATCACATTTTAAATATCGAGGTGCATCGTTCAATTTTTTTTTAATTTACAAAATCAAAACTGCAGAAACCAGTATTAGTAAGATAGGTTCCAAGCGCTGTACATAAAAGTTCACAGTAAAGATCTCTCTTGTCTCATTTGATAAAATTTATGGAGGTTATTTGGAGCTTTTTTATCTGGCTTTTGGGTCATTTTTTTGAAAACTGGTTTGGGGAGTACAACTTGTGTTAATTCCCTTATGGTTTGCTGACCAGATCTTGCCTACAAGAAGACAACTGAGCAATCAAGTACTAATTACAACGGATTCAGCAGCAGAGCTGTAGATGAGGTGTACACACCTTACTATGACAGTAAATCGTGCATGCATACCAAGAAAGAACAAAATCCATGGTGGAGAGTTGATCTTGGACGAGAATACATTGTAACGGGTATGTTCTGATGTTTGTTGGAGTAATGGCACGTATAGCTGTCTCTAGCGACAAAGCTCATTGCCATTGATGGTTTTAATGGTTATTTCTCTACATTATTTTGAAGCTTTTATATCTGAGGTTAGTCCGCTGCCATAAATAAAATTAATTTCTCAGCTCCTCGATGTGGTTTCCGTTTCCATGCTTCACCACAGAACAGTCGTAAATTAAAGTAAATTATTAAAAAATTCTAAAGCACAATTTCAATATCTGCCCCTTTTACCTTTCAGACGTGATGATCGTAAATCGTTATTACGACTTCGAGAAACTCACGAACTTTGATGTCAGAGTTGGAGTCAACAAAGACAATCTGCAGAACCCCACATGTAGTGACCGCGTGAGGACTGTGGGCCAGGGACAAGCTCTGCGGCTTCAGTGTGATCCACCAATCCCTGGACGTTATGTTTCTGTTCAGATGTTTGGAGAAGGAGAACTTTCAATGTGTGAAGTAACAGTTTACTCCAGAGTCGGTGAGTGTGTTGAAATTATTTAGTGAAGATAGGACGTATTTTAAAGTTGAGTGTACTAGTAATTTACGATTAAAAGCAGATTTCTAGCTCACAGATCGATGTGCTTGTGTGCATAGTTTTGGAATCTTTCAGAAGGATAATGTGACAGCAGTGTTTTGAGGAAAAGAAGGACTCATCTAGAATAAAATTACAAGGATAGCACGACATCATGAAATCTGAGTATCTGGATCATCGCTAGGGTTGTATATGATTAGTTCTATTTTTACACGCAAAGCCATTGTGATACCACGAAACTATCGCGTCTAGAGAACTTGCCAAGATTATTGCTCTCCAGCAGAGTAAATGAACCAAACAAAAATCAGGGAACAACGTTTTTCTATCTGCTTCAACCCTCAAGTGATCATCGTGTATCCTCTTCTTGAAATTCTAACACACTCTCTGACAAACAATTTGTAAGACTATGAAAAGTTGTTGTCTTGAAATAAGTGCAAAAACTATCTTGACTCAACTAATCTACAAGTTAAAGTATGTATAACACTAAGCTGTGAGTGAGAAACAAAGATGCGGCTTATGGAATTCATACGGTTAATGTAGGTTGGCTTTGTCTGATTTTTTGGTTTGTTTTCGAAGAACTTATAAATCTATCTATTTCATTTGTCTTCTCCACATTTTCAGGTGTCATGGCGGATCTTTGTCAACTGGACAATGGCGGCTGCTCACAGGTTTGTTATAACCTGTGTAACCTGAAAGTCCAATGTGGCTGTTGGCCTGGTTACACTCTGGCTTACGATAGCAAAACATGTATAGGTGAGTGAGTGCTGTAAAACTACAAATGACAAAAGATAAAAAGATAAAACTACAAATGATAAAAGATAAAAATAATCGTCAAATAATATATAAGGCACAGGCTTAAAAAGGATGTTATTGTTTAACAGCTTTGAGTTAGTTAGATCCTCTAGAGCAAGATTATTAGAATTAATGAGAATTTCGAACGTTTTAAAGCCTTTTCTAAAAACTCAACCAATATAGAAAATAACATCGGGTATCCATTGGCCGTCCGTTGAGGAACTCCTTAACAAGTGTTAGATGCTTTAGGCTATCTGTTCTTTCATCTAATTCATTTCGGTGGAAACCTGCTCATAGGTGCTAAAACACAGAGGCACACGCAGGTCACTTTTTTTACGTTTTACGGCAAACAGATACCCAATTTTAGCATTTTCGTAAAATCTGCGTCCTAAGAAATCATGAACGTCAAATTAATTTCGTTGGGTTGTACCTGTCCAAGGATTTAAATATTCATTCTTTTTTTAACCCTTAGACAAGGATGAATGTCAAACGAACAACGGTGGCTGCGATATCGCTAACGGACTGTGTGTCAACACTCCAGGAAGTTATCATTGCAGATGTAAACTTGGATACCAACTACAAGAAAACAGCGAAGTTACATGCGAAGGTAAAAAAAATCATATACAATGTGCGTTAATCGACTTTTATTGTAACATTGTGGACGCCTGAAGCGGATATCAAAGATACTCATGTATACACGAGGAATAATGAATTTGTAAACTGAGGCCGTTAGTAACGGCATTCAAAAATCGGAATGGAGGATTTCAAAATTAAACGATGTTTGAGTATCAAAGGTGACAATTTTCTCCTTCAAGTACTTTTTGATTGAGTACCGTGAAACCAAAGCCAAATTATCCCAATGGTTGAGAAGGAAGCGCAAGTTTTCTTGACCAATCATACAACGTTGCGAAACTGAAGCAATCTTTACTTAGTTTGACTCTCGAAGGAAAGCTACATTATGTTGATGATTGAATTTATTTTTCTATTAGATTTCAACGAATGTCAACTGAACAACGCGGGCTGTGAACACATTTGTGCCAACAGTGAAGGCAGCTATAACTGTGATTGTAGAAAAGGGTTCAAACTGAAGGATGATAAATTTGGATGTGAAGGTAAATTTGGGATAAGATCCTTGTTTGCATGGGAAAAAAACCAAACAAACGATTCGGTTAATGATAAGCATTATGTATTGATCAGTGATGGGTGGGTTGGACGAAAGTTGGAATGAGTCGAAGGTATGCTTCTTTCTTCTTTCTTCTTTTCGGTTTTTTTTTTTTTTTTAGTTTAAAGCGGCACTTGAACCCAAGCGTGAAGCGTGTTTAAAGCTAATGGCGGACATGAATTATTGTTAGTTGTGTTGTGCAGATTTAAGAACTGGTTTTATTTCATGTTTACGATCTAAGCAATACAAGCGGCAGCTGCGTTTCGGGTTTGCGTAACTTGCAACACGTCTCCCAGTTTTCTCTTGTTTAGATGAGGCAATTTCAACAACTAAAAGGTCCTTTCCGCTTTGATACATGCGAATCTAGAAACATCGCAACCGTGTTTTCTTTATCTCATCTTAGCACATGCATCTGTGGACCAATAGGAGCGCTTGTCAGGTCTCAGTTATTATATAAACCTCGCGTAGATACTTCTTAGCGATAAAATCGTGAAAACTTTCTGTTTTTTTTAATCTAAACTGCAAATGGCAATTTCAACTTAGTGAGCATTTCTGGCTTGATCTTCTTTCCGTAGATATTGACGAGTGTGCAGAGGCAGATCAGGGAGGCTGTGAAACGAAATGTTCAAATTACGAAGGTGGATATTACTGTACCTGTGATGTTGGATACCGACTAAGAGACGACGGAAAGACTTGCGAAGGTAAACCCGAGTTGTTGTTTCACTGAGCTGTAATTTTCACAAATCTTATAATCCCATATTGTCGTTTGTTGCTATTTATGTTGCTGTCGTTCAATTTCTTGTTGTCGCGTTTTTCTTTTTTGTGTGGATGTTAATTAGAATTATTATTGTCGTAATAAATCATTATCATCATCGTCATCATTATTAAAATCGTCCGCATTCTTTCGTTTTCCTTGCCTTCTTTCTAATTCTCTTAATCTCCATTCTGTCTTATGTCGCATTCCAAGCGTCACGCGATCGCTTTCAGGCAAATTGCAGTTGTTAGTGCTAGAGTTACAAACCTATCAAATGTGGGGTACTGCCTCAAACTAGTAACAGTTTGGTAGATATAGTGTTGAGTAATTTTCTCTATAATTTACTGACATAATTCCTTTTTTTTCTTATTCATTTATCTTAGCTCGTTTTATGTTTAAATACCATGCAAAGAAATGCTATTATCTTTAGGTTCATACTGAAAAAAAAAGTCGAAAATTTCGAAGCGTCTCTTTTTTAAGGCCACAGGCATTTATAATTTTAAGGCGTGAAAAAAGAAATGGCCTAATAATGTAGGTCTGCTGAAGTATACTATTGTTATCCAGGAAAACCTAGAACAAGCTACAAATGTGACCATTTCATCTCAAATTTCATATCATTTTTAGAGATCTACTGTCCGGCTTTGGAAGCGCCATTCCGGGGCCAGATCACACCAGAAACCTGCACTGATGACAGAGAAAATATTCAGCGCAACACACAGTGCACATATGGCTGTGTGGCTGGGCACAATCTTGCCGGTGGTGATCAGTTGTTGACCTGTCAGATTGATGGTTTGTGGCAGGGGACTGTACCTTACTGTAAACGTGAGTAACGTAAAATAGAAATAAATTTAAATTTAGCGATGGGAATTCCACCAGGTGGCTCTTCTTGTCCACTGTTTGGAGATCAAATTGGAATTTGAAATGATGTTTTTTTTGTGGAGGGAAAAAAACAAGATGGCCCGCGGAAAAACCATCGAAGCAAGGATGAGAACCCGCAACAAAATCAACTTACATGTGACGCCAGGTCCGGGGGTCGAATCCTGGTCACAATCTTTGAGCGCGTGGGAATTTTCATCTAGTGTGTTAACAAACAATTTATCATTTTGTGGAACGGTTTTAGAAGTGTCCAGAAGGTTATTTGCTCAGTGGACATGATGCTGTAGACATTTTCTTGTATTCTTCTAGTAGAAATATTAATTTTTAAGAATACGTGTAAGCTGCTTGGTATAGAAATTATAAATTTAAGCTATGTTACAACGATTAAATTTAATATGAGCATACTAGGATACTATAATACCGCTATACGTATAATTCTGACAGACTTTAAGTTAAGCAGTTTCCACAAGCAGAGATGAAGGGCTCACAAAAGCCGTGTTTATTTCAAGGTATCAGAGTTATGTTTGTGCTGGCGTGAGCTGAGGAGAGTTCATTGCATTGAGCTTTCGAGAAGAAATGATCCATAAGTTGGAAATTCTACGCTACCCTCAGGTCAAACATCCTTGCTCTTGTTACAGACAACTACAGGGCCGAGAACGATGGCCACACTTTTACTTTGTTGCATTTGTCATTTTATTTTAACTCTTCTCAGCGGTTACTTGTCCAAAGTTGACTGTTCCAGACAATGGTGGAGTTATACCAGCTTCATGTTCGAAAACAGACATCGAGTATGGAATACGATGTGTCTTTTACTGCGACGACGGTTATGCGCTCAGCGGTCCAAGGTACACCACATGTCAGGCTGACCAGTCATGGAGTGAGTTAGCATCGTTGTCTTGTGTCAGAGGTAAGAAACACTACTATCTTATTGCGAATGAAAAGGAAAAAAATGCAACGAAAGGAGAATCTGGAAAGAGGGTTTTAATAGTTAAATAGGAAATATTGTTTGGCAGTGGCATAACCACGGTCCAAGGGGCTGCGCTCCATCCACTTATTCTCGGTGGAACTTAAGAATGGCTTATTGGTTTTGTGGAGGAAGAAAACCAGAGAAAGCGGGGTAAAATCTTTAAGCAAAGGCAGATGCCCACTCAGCCCATGAAACGACGTTAAATTCAGGAATCAAGCTAGCGCTACAGCGGGCGGAGTCGAGCGCTTTCACTACAAAAGATGCAATTGCACCGACATGTCGGCTGATCCAAGTGCAGAATAAGTGATCGGCTGGAATAGATAGCTGGGTAAAATATTTTTTAACATTGCAGCATGCTTGCGGGCTTGGAAATAGGGGCTTATCGCCATGCTATTGTTGGTCAATAGCAATGATGCAACCATTAGTAACTCGCAGATTGAGTCATGATGATCCTCAAATATTGAAATTCCTTCTTTGTGATTGCAGTTTACACAGATCCATGGATCGCCTGTCCAATCGACAGAGTAGAAGATCTTGATCCAGACAAGTCCACCGTGGTGCTTGGGTTCAAATGGCAGCTTCCACGAACCAACATGAAAAATGTGACAGTGTCGCCTAGCAATTACGATGAAAATTATCCATTCCCTGTTGGCAGACATACGGTCACGTGGATAGGAACCAGTGATAGTGGAGCACAAAAGAGTTGTACTTTCCATATCACAGTGAACGGTAGGTGGATTATAGATTTTTAGAAAGAGTTTTAAAGATTTCTGAGTCGTGTTTTTTTCATTAAGGCACGAGATTTAAACTTAAGGAGAGTATCCGAATAGTAACTTTGTCAGTTTGAGTTAGAATGGAATTTTTACGACTAAAGAAGAAAGATTTAATCTGTCCTCAAAATTTTTGTTTTCATTCTTCCTTGCCCACAATTTTTTAAGGGTTTATTCTAAGTTATGCGATCCGCTGTGTGATCAAGATAAATAAACAGAAGAAGTTTGGAAACAGTGCTGAACGACTCTGTGATTCACAAAATCTCACGTAGTCTTAGGTGACACAGTTTATAATCTCTTGTAGATGACAAACTCGAACAAAGGAGACTACAATCTTCTTAATAACACATCAGGATAAAAACCAATCTACCTGAGGAAAAAAGTTATTTTGCCTGTAGCGATATGAAATTGGTTACGGAAGGCCATCATTAAATTATTTGTTATTGGTATTTTCTTTCCTCCTCATTTTAGATGTGACCCCGCCTCAAGTCCAGAACTGTCCTGCAAGCATCGTAGAGCGTTCCAACTCCCTGCAAAAAGATATCTTTTGGACAGAACCAACATTCACTGACAACGTAGAGGTGGCCACCATTCAGTCAAATCGACAACCTGGCTTTTCTATGCAGACTTACACATCACTTACTGTACAATATACTGCTTCAGATGCTGCAGGAAACACTGTGTATTGTACCTTTAACATCACATTAGAAGGTAAGTTGCACTGTGTTCCTTTAAAGAACCTCTGAAGGTCAGAATGAAGGCGAATAATGGGCAATAACTTCAATTCATATGAAATTCTGGCAGAATGGTCATTCTCTTTTACAATAATTTATAACATTTTCAAAGGGGAAGTATGATCGTTTGTCTCCAGACATGGTCACTTCGGATGCGGATCGTAACGTTTCGACTGCATAATGCTGGTCTTCTTCAGGCCATGAGGTCGATTGAATGCGCGTCACCTATATACTGTTGTGCCCGGCTGTGATAAGACGCAATCCCATGCCTGGAGTCAGATCTGAACTTTGTTCAGGGGTCGTTTAAGGAACACTTTAGACGAAAGAAAAAAACCCAAAAACACAACGCCAAAATTGGTCTTTCATTTGAGAGGTTCCAAAAATGATAATTTTGCAAATAATGGTATTATTGAAAAGCGATGGCAAACTGCATGGAGGCTGCTCTGGAAGGTTCAAGAAGAATTATTCCATCTTGTCCAACGGGTGGATCACAGTGCGCAACATACACGGCAGACTGACTCGCACTGCTCACTACAAAGTGGCTGTCGGTTCCAGGTTCATTTCATCGGTTGACTATCCGCTTGGTGCTCTTAATGTATTTTTGCCTACACCAAAACGCAGGGGCAGGTTGTCCGAAGCCCGATTCGCATTTATCCCAAGTTAAATTGCCTTATTTCGAATTTGTACGTCAAGAAAAATTGTTTTTATCCACTTTCTAGCAACTAGTCTAGCAACTATATATTAACTGACAACACTCCTCTTTTAATTTTTTTAGGTACAACTTGTCCCACAATTCCTAATCCTAAAAATGGGTTAGCGTCTAAGCTTGGATTGTTCCTACAACTCAGATGCAACACTGACTACTTCTTCAATCCATACCCACCTGGACTGCCCGGGCTATTCCAGAATCCTTTCTATAGATGTATAGATAACAAGTGGGTGTCACAGAATGACTTTGTGTCTATCCTACATCAAGCTCCGGATTGCATGAGTAAGTTTGCATAGTATTTTATAGTTTAATGGCCGCCCCCTGTGAGGGAAATGTATTTCCTTATATAGAGCCATCACGAGTCTTAATTTCGCAGATTGTCGACCACATAAAAATGTTGTACAAAATCTTTTACCTTCGGTTGAATGAAGAACACACTCTGCATGCTAGCCATGCGCAATATGTTTCGCATATTTCGTGTTTGCACCAGTTCAAAATCTCATCGAAAAGTATCTGCCTTGCAGATCTCCATATTCATTTCAATAAAAAATTGAGAAAATTTGAGAACCTTACGCTTTTTTATTTGTCAATGTTAATGGCAACAATTTCCGGTAAAGCTTTCAGTGATCTCCCACAACGTTTTTTTTATTTTGCGAAAAATTCGTAACACAAAGACTTGCTTCACGATATACGGCGGTTTTGCATGAAAGGGCAAGATTTATCAGTGGAATAATTGTATGCAAAGAAACAGTGAATGGCTTCACATTTAACTTCAGACATAAGGGATCCGTTTTGATCAAAAATAGTATGTGATAAGGCAAGATTATATTCTCTTGCATGAGGTAAATCTTGGGATCTAACGCCAGGGCAGAATTTTATTCTGTAACTAAACACTAACTGCAATTAAATATTATTATACATGAACTGAGTTTACTGGCAAGTTTTTTATGTTGTTAACAGAATACGTGAATTACGAACAAGGTAAAGCTTGTGGGGATGGCACAATATTATTGGACAATGTTATTTGCTGTAAGTATTACCGCACAATAAATTAAAGTAATCGCGTGATTATCCAAGTCAGTGTTCAGAGGACTCCAAATAAAACTTTTTCTCAGTAGCGACCTAATTTAAAATAAACGGTAAAATACACTTTATACAAGCACTTTTTCCAAATAACGAGTTCTTTTATATTTGGCAGTGAATTGTCCGCCTGGGAGCTACGGAGACAGCTCCACAAACACATGCAAAGACTGTCACCTAGGATATTATCAAGACGAGGAAGGCAAGCCCGAGTGTCAGCCATGCCCCAAAAATTACAGCACTGCCATCACTGGAGCTAAGAATAGAACAGATTGTAGACGTATGTTCATAAGAATTTACTATTTTGCCTTTTATTTTCCTATTTTGTGCTATGTGGTCAGGGACCCATTTCCTTACGTCCCAGTAACTTTACGGACTTGACGCCATACTTTGAAATCTAAATTGACGGAATAGTAGGTAGCACGATTCTTAGCTCAAAAACCAGGGCCCAGTTGTATAATGGGTGGATAACACTATCCAACGGATTAATCGCTATCCAGAGGATAAGTGATAGCAAAACGTATAGTGTTATCCACCGGATAGAGATTTATCCAGTGGACAGTGTTATCCGATCTTCGAACAACCGGGGCCAGGCCTTTCTATATTATTCCCCGATATTTCTTATGATCAGAATTTGAAACTGTTTAAATGATGAAAATGAACTCGGCAAACAGATACCAATTTTTCGGCAATGGTTCCAACTGGACTTTCAGGAAACGGACTCCAGGTCCAAGAAATGATTGAATTGGACTTAATTGAGGAGGAAAATGAAGATCAGGAGTAATGATGATCACATCTTCTATTCATCATCGAAAAAATTATAATGGGATATTGGCGCGTAGCTAACCATAATTTGTCCTCTTGCGCATGCCCAACGTTAAAACGTTGTGTTGATTTGGTAGTCACGTGCACTTGATATAGCAACACTGGTTCATTTTACACACAGTTAAAAGTACCTTGGCGAGTAATGGTTTAAGGTGGGGTCTGCGACAAAGACATTAGTTACAGAGCTGTTCCTCTGAAACGGTGAAGTTGAATTTTACACCATTCGATTTTTTTACAGCTATCTGCAGACCAGGTAGATATTCAACTAACAATGGGGTTTGTCCGTGCAAGAGGTGTCCTTATGGAACTTACCAGGAAATTGAACAGATGACATACTGCAAAGCTTGCCCGATGGGAACTAATACAACAACAACTGGAAGGACTTCCATCGATGATTGTGTGGGTGAGTATTAGATATATAGAGAGAATCAGTTTGGTAAACTTTCATTCGACTTGCGCTATCCTATCCACTGTTATAATCCATCCAATATTTTCGGTCTTGCACGAGCGTTTTGTGACTCAATTTACCCCAGCTGAAACTGGGGAATATCTGGTGATATTCCTCTAATGATGATACCAATTTAAAAACTTTGCGTCCGATGGGGGTGCCACATTGGAGCGATACGAAACATTTACCTACTCGCTACATTTAAGTAGTAAAATTATTTTTTTTTTTATAAAAAAAGGTCTCTTACATTTGTTCACAGCCAAAGCTCAAATCATTGGTACAGTGCCCACTTCAGACTTCTCCGTCAAGGAAAATGATACTATTTCTATTGTTTGTAATGTCGATGGCAGTCCAGCTCCCACTGCTACATGGACTAAGACCACTGGTGAGTTTTGCTCTATACTAACAATTACTTTTTATCGCATGGTTGGGGAAAAGAAATTTTTAAGGGGGGGGGGGAGGGGGTCGCATTGTTTTAGGGGGAACGGTGCTAACAGAGTTTAAAGGGGGGGGCCTTAGAATATTGACTGCCGATGAGGGGAGACAGGTAGATTTTATCTTATTTTATTGTGGCATAGCCAAAATCCTTTCACCTCCCTCCCCCACAGCCAGGTGATAAATAATGACCGCTCCTAAATTTCAAATCATTTTCACACCATATGAGACCTTATGCTCTTCACAGTGATGTTTGAGAAATTTACATTTATTATTGAACTTTATTTTCAAAACATAGTGCCTGTTTTTGGTATCCTTACAAAATTTATTAAATTTATTATTTCATTTTTCGGCCAAGAAAATGCAATTTCAAATTTGAAAAGAATACCATGAATTTTTATTGTTAGGTGTGTGATGGGATATTCTCGCAGTCAAACCAGATATGAAGGGTTATAGACTGCAATTTTTACGATGAGTTGTCTCGACTTAAAACGCCGCAGTTAATAACTGAGCTTGTTCATTGTTGCCCTGAACGTAGAAACTTTCCGAGGGATAAATAACAGATGGTGTCCGACGGTATTTTAAAAGCACAAGCTTGATTTTCAGTCACTGCATTTGTTACAAATATCTCACAAAAAACTCTCGCAAATTTTGCCTTCGATTGGTAGAATTACACGCGTGATGACTGAGAAGAATGCAGCTTGGAAATTTTTTATGCCGAACATAATGCACATTTGTTATCAGATGAAACTTAACAACGACAAGTAGGAGTAAAAGAAGCGGGTGCGCAAAAAAGGGCGTAAGCCTCGCAAAGAGAGAACGAAGGTGCCATTTTCCTGGAAACCCTGTTTTTCGCTTATTGTCTCTTTCAGTCGTGTTCGTTGTTCGCAACCCCGCAACAGGCCAAAGTTCTGTTAACATGAATATCTTTCGTATAGGTTCTCCGCCTTCATCGGACCGCGTAACAGTGAATTACATCTATGACTTGGAAGCGAAGCTTACTGGTGTTGAGTACGTCATAACTGCAGCGATTGCCTCTGATGCGGGAACTTATGAGTGCAGGGCTTCCAACAAACTTAACGTGGTTACCAAAACGATCGCCGTGTCTGTTACATCTGCGGCTTGAGTCAGTGACTGACAAGGTATGAAATTAGTCGTTAACATATTAACTCTCAAGATCTGACTTAAAGTTTTACCAACTTTTTGCAATCCATTTAATTTTAAATCAGCTGTGAGAATTTTTTGACAAGTTCTGGTTGATAAGTTTCCATATTCTCATTACTGGGCTGTTAAATAAAGTAGAGACATTGTGTGGAGAAGTTACCTTGCAAGCCATACAAAGAGTTGTAATAACAGTGAAAAAGTTTTTATGTTCTCAACAAGCAGCAAGTGACACACTCAACTGACCATTCATGTTATTAGAGTATGATAAAGGAGTGGGAGTGGCTGTTGCAAATTTTTAAAAAAGCTGAAGATTCTAGAGTAAGGCCTTCCTCTGAACCAAGTAAAAGAGAAATCTCCACAGCTTTTGCTTCGACGAAATGCCAGCGCTGAAAAAAATCACCACCAAACTCTATCTGCATTTATCAATCTCTAGTTGAAATAATTGAGGTGTTGAACATTGGACAACCTCGTACTGAGGCGTACCCGGTGGTGAACACGAAAAATCTGGGAACGAGCTTATCCAAAATGGTGGAAACGGTTGGAGAATAAGCGCAGGTGTTCCCTCACTTCGAGGGAACGAACGGGAAGCCACTGTTTTAATGAAGTTTTATCAATGTCTATTTACCAATTCGTTATTCATAAATTCGTGACAATCAGATCCCTTCCTGAATCATGCTTGTTGGCGTAATTTTCTCAATTTTTCGTTCTTGTTTCAGTTTAACCTCGACTCGAGGAGAAGATATTAAAGAGGATCAAGTTACAGTTTAAGATTAGAAAACATGTTATTTCACTAATAATTGACATTAAATGAAGCTTTTAGCGGAAAAGGAATAAACGTTGTAAAGCATAAAATGTTTGAGGTGCAAACAAATCTCATGTGTTTTATAGTACAAAACTCCTTTCCATGTCAAATCCCTAAGAAGACCTCTTCGTTTTTCACCTTCCCGCTTTGCCTCGCCCTGTGACGAAATGCCATAACACCCCAACTCGTGTTATCTTTAAGCTGAGTAGCCTCGCCGTGTCGGATTGACCGAAGTCGTTGCCAACTCGTCTCAATGCAATTGACATTTCAACTAATTTATTCATTCCTTTTGCGTTCAAATGGTTCTGTTTCTTTGCAGTTAAAATTGTGTCTATTAAGCGAAGGATGTTGCAGTGCTAAGCTAGTGTTGAAGCTCTTTCCTTTATTTTTTCAATCAACGCGCAATGGGTTTTATTCATGTAAACCATTAATAATCAATGATCCATCCGCTTTCAAACTTGAAATAGTGAGTATGATGAGAGACTCATTATTTGTGCGTTCGCAGAAGTACGTTCGGTTACTGGAGCGGCCAGCTCGTGATACTACACCGCTGCACAACTTATACCTGCTTAAATGACTGGCTTAGAAGAAATATAAGCACCACGCATTTCTATTCCTGCTTTTTCACAAATGAAAAAAAAATATTAGCTTACGAACAATAACGCACGTGTGTTTATATAACAAGTCGTCCAACATGACGATAGAAGATTACGTTATTTGAAAAAAAGGTGCATATGTACTTTGAATGTAAGATTTCAAATGCCAAATGAAATTTTTAAAAAGTCCTAAGTAGAAGCGGGATTTACGGCCGTGCAAAGTTCGTTTTTTACAAATTAAAAAAAAACCTTTTGAAGTCAGCTGTTGCTAATGATGCTAATTGTCGCGCCAACATTAAATGTCTGGCGCACAACTTAAATTTGCTGCATTTAGTACAGTTGAAAACACATCAGTTAACACAAAGACATTAAATTTACAGGTGATTTCTATGATTATGAATGATTTATTTCTTACCGCGCCCAAACACATGCTGATGCTTTGATTGGCTATTGGACGCAGAAACACAGCCAGTTAGAAGCCCAGCCACGACAAACCACTCGCCAAGGCGCACAATTCTCCTGTTCAATAAACTTAAATTGAACCTCGGTTTAAAACAACAGGATAAAATTGAAGGGTTGCTGACCCTATCAGTGCGCTAAATCAACTTGGGGACTCACAACGATTTCAAACGCAATTTAAGTTTCCAGCCGATCTTGGCGTTAGAGATGTATTTCCTAGCAGCCATCATTTTTGCCGTAACCTCGCTGCCATCAACAGATGCGTTTTGCGAGCGTCTATATAAAAATCCCTACTGGAGCCCTAAAAGTTTAGCACAGAGAGCTCTCGACGCAGACATTGTTGTTTACGGCAAAATTGCCGAAAGTCCATGCGTAAAACCAATCTTCAAGTTTGTGAACACAACAAATCTACCGACTCTCTCAACCAACGCCACAAATTCTTCTAGCAGTGTTCAATTGACACTTCCCAGCAACACCAGCAACATTGATATGCGCAACTCCACCGATGAAAACGCGACAGATATTTGTTTGAGGCGCGAGTTTTACAATGTGACGATGAATGTTTCCTGTGTCATCAAAGGAGGAGCTGTTCCTTCTGTCATTCATCTGCGTTCATTCGGGTTCGGTCCAAACAAGTGCACATACTTCACAAGAGGTTTTACCTATTACGAAACAGTCCAGTCATTCCATGTGTACAAAGGACAAAACTACCTCGTCTTTCTTGGGAGGTAAGTGGAAGAGTTGCTCTAAAAAAGCTTTTGCTTCGTGAACGAAAAAAAAAGGCGCTAAGAACATCTGATTACACACAAAATCCCAGAAGAAAGTTGCATAACACTGTCTCAGAAGTCAGTCAATTTTTGTCCCAAGCTCGTAAGAAAGTCTCTCTTGATTTTCTTTCACTTTTCCCTTCTATATATTTCGCTTCTACAAGGGAAAAGGTAGTTTTTTGAGATATTGGCCGAAGAGACCTTCTCTAAAGAAATGTCTTGTTCTCAGAGTACTTTTGTCTAGTACAGTTTTAATCTCAGCCAATGAAATATTTTAAACAAGCTTCAGAATATTCACCTTTGATAAATTCCTTTAAAAAGGGTTGTGTCAACCTCTTTTCTCCTGCCTTAGGTAGTTTGCAAATAAATTCTTCAATCAAATATAATCGCAATAAACTGTTGCCAAAGTATTCATTAGATTACATCTTAAACATCGGCACTTACCTGTAGTTTTCAATAAAGAAGATATTCCACCTGCCAGACTTATGAATCATTAACAAACTTGCCTTGATTGCAATTTTAGACAAGAATAATGCAGTGACGATGAATATGAACGGCGATGCTTGCTCGTTTTGAACTGGTGGGCGATGTGAGCGCGCGAGAGGTCCACAAGTGTTCCGGCACGAAAATGTCAGACTCAGTACGCTCACAATGAAAAAGTTTTTACTTAAACCTCATTGATATTCCCCCTTCCCATCACCCCACATATTGATTTTTTCCCTGTTTTCGCGCTTTAATTAGAAGTATGAATATAAGTGCGTAAATTTCAAGAGCACTACGTATCCTTTTATCTCTTTCAGGCGCAAAGGCAATGGTGATTCAAACAGTTTTTGGCCACGTGAAATCAATCTACAATCAGCATCCACGGAAATTATAGATGAGAAGTATCTAAAGCCTGTTTTCGCGGCAGTTGGCGGTCATGCGCACAGCCCTGAGGGAGTGGATGAGACTCACAGCATTTGTGTACCGTATATTGGCGGTGCACCGTCACACTACTTAAAACATTCGTTTCTATTGATAGTGCTTGCCTGTGGAATTTTTTTGATTTAGGCCGAATAATGTATTGTTTCCGGCGAAATGTATGTTTTTCCACGGGCCACTGAAAGTTTCTGCGAATGACTCTTTACTCTTTCTAGGCAATCAGGGCGAGAATAGGCAACTGTTTATAGCAAATTTACCATTAAATGCTAGTAAAGAACTAACGTGCGTTTGTTTAAGGTGCAAGAGTCCCAAATTGACTGTTTGTGATAATATGAAAATCTTTCTCTTTTTAGCGTGACTAACAAGACCATACAGTGTTGCTTTTCTAGGCAAGGCTGAAATTTAAAATTTGTCTTCCAATCAAAAGTTTAAGACTATTAAAAGTGACCCGTTGTAGGCATCTATGAAATAGAGTCTACTTTGAAAACGCAGGGTCTAAAGTAGAAGCTATTTTTGCCAATTACTACCATAGACGTTTTGAATATGAAATTTATCAACTGTTTATCAGATCTCAGACATCAAAAGTTCATGTACGCACAAGAAACTGTTTGTTTAATTTTTATTCAATTTTATAATGAAAATAAACATCTCATTAGTTCTCATAGACAGACAACTTTAGCTGTACCTATGATCATATTATGTGATGGAGATCAACTGTGAAGCTGAGCAAAAAGAGGGGGAGAGGGTGGGGAAGTGGATAAATCACTTTGACTCCTGGATAAAAAAAAAAGTGATCTGCCATTTCTCGGCCATGACAAAGAATTGAGCGAACCTTCATCAGCTGTGATGCTGATAAACAATGTTGTACATGCTTAACGTTAAAAAAAATTTAAAAAAAAGGAAAAAACATCTTTCACAGCCCGAAGATGAAATGAAAAGATTGTTTAGAATAAGTGCCTCGGAGACAACTTGGATGAATGTTAATATATGTAAAGGGACACACCGAGAAATGGGAAGAGTTCGAGAGAAAAAGACAGCCACATCTGTAAATTAGTGCCCAACAACTGCTTTATGCTGTGGGTGAACTATGTGTAGTTCGTAATATCTAAGGAATAAGAAAAGACAAGAGAGCATAATCTTGAGTTCCCTTGGAAAAGATTACTAGCAACGAAGAGAGAAAAGACATCATCATTAAAAGAGTAACTGTGAATCTCTAACAAGAGGGTCCTTTCCGTAGATATGCAATCGTTACCCTACATGAACGACATAATAACCGTCAGGAGCCTCAAAAAAGTGTGAGCAGCTAGCAGAGTGCTGTACATAAAGGTTATGTCGACCCTAACGCTGCTCTATACAACGCATAACAGACGACGAACACACTCCCGGTTGCCAAGCAATATCGTTCGGGTCATGCGTAGTGGACCCGAGATCCTGTGATAGCGAATGCCAGCGCTAGCTACGCAAACTGTGAGACGTAGCACATGCAGACAGCGAATAAATAATTATTCAAATATTGTAAACAATTCTTGCGATTCTTTCCTCAGAAGAATTGTAAAGAACTTCACCAGGTTACTTCATTTCTACACTACGTGAAACGAAAGATAATTAACTAAAATAATTGCACATTTATGATTCTCGTTTTAATTTTTTTCTAATCATCTAAGGATTTTCACAACAATCGTTTGATTTAAAAAGGGAAGAAATTTGTATCTGTAGACGTGAATATGGTTTCATTACGAATTTAAAAATCTTCCAGCAGGACAACCCATCTCCAGCGATCTTCTTCTTCATCAGAGTTACGCCGGTACAATGGCCAAACTCTCTTTTTCGCCAAATGCAATGAAATTCAAGTGAGCGCGCACAGGGCAGGTTGTACATTAATGATTAAAAGTAAGCAGTATTAGGCGACGCCTCAGACAACAGGTGACTTGCAGATGCGAGAGAGCATCGCCGTGCGTTATGGAAATGTAAACAGCTGAGCAGATTGAGTCAGAGAGTGCCGCAAGCTAGTTACAAGAAAAAAAAATCAAGATCTTTATTTGGCCAGTGACGATTTTACTGTAGAGTTTCTGCAACCTCACAGTCATATGATTAGTCACAACAAGATGTCGATAAGAGCTGTGGCAGTTGCGTTTACGTTATTCTTCGTCGCGTCTTTGCTGCATACCAGCGACGCAGTTTGTAAAAGTCCACGAGGGAGCAAAACTTGGAGAAGGAAGAGCTTAGTGGACCGTGCTATCCAGTCCGATATTGTCATCTATGGCGAAGTTTTTAACAGCCCGTGTTGGAAACCTGGCTTTGTAAAACCAACGAATGCTCCACTCACGACGCCAACTCAAGCTCCAAGCGGCGTCAATTCCACGAATACAACAAGCAACACGACAGGGTTCATTACGACTCCTTCGCCACCGAAGCAAGAAAATGCAACAGCCAACACGACGACCCAATCTATTGTGCCAACCACGGAAGTCCCGTACAACTGTAGCACAGAGTACTATAACGCGATCATCAAGGTTCTATGTGTGTTAAAAGGAGGCTCAGTGCCTCTACTTATTAATCTGGAGGGTCTTGGTCATGGAGAGGGAGTCTGTTTGGATGAATCGTACCACGACCATCACGCGTATAGAATGTTGAAATATCTTATTTTCATCGGAAGGTAAAGTTTTGCAATTTTGTTAATTCCACATTTGTAGTTTTTACACTTTGAAGTTTCGTGAGAAATTTCCTCGATTTAATCATGCTCGCTTTTAAAGCAGAGGAATTTTTGCGAAACGCTGAGAAGTATTTCTTCAATTAAGGTTTTGAGAATCGACAAAGAACTAGCGAATTTCATTTCGAATTTTTAGTCGCTCACAAAAGACTCCAACCATGATGATTCATCTACGTGTAGCTTTACGGAGACCAGCAGCTCTTTGACTCTACAAAGTACATCATGTTAAAGTTTTTGAGGAATGATTTTAATCGCTCTTCATGTGCTGTCGGTTACGTTGATGTTAACACTTATCAAACAACAAGCTCTCACTCCTATATAATTTATAAAGGGATCGTTTTTTTTATTTTTATTTTTTTGTTTTTAGCCAGATAGTGGACAAACATCTACTGCTCCATAGGCTTTTTTTCAGTTTCAACCCGCTGAGAGCTTTTTGCTATAATGTTTTCAAGTAAATGAATTGTTTTTGAGAACGTGTGATAATTCCGTAGCTGCTCCTCGGCTTGCTCGTTTCGCATGATCGGTGAACTTACAATTTCTTCTAAGTTCATTTTATTCCTTTCGCAAAATAACTAGTTTCCAACCGACTTATTTCATTTCATTTTGCCAACAATTTGAAAATTTTCACGCACCAGTGATGTTTATAAACACCTACTGATAAAAAATAGCAATACTTTATACGTGCGAAATGGTCAAAGAAAAACTTGCAAGGGGCTCGAATTCAGCCATCTCGTTCTTGAGTTCAGTGCATTAATTATTAGCCGTCCCAGCTTCTTAGCTTACCCTGCCAACTAAGAGACCATCAGCAGTTGATTCCTTTTGAAGCTTACTCAATTCTAATTCATTCCTTAGGAAGGAAATCCCAAATGAAAAAGGTCAATTCAGGATCTATCCAGTGAACTACCAGCCTGCTCTTAAAGAGATCGATGATGAAACCGAGTTGGATCCTATCTTTGAAGCTGTTGGTCGAAATGCTCACTTGCCTAGCAACATCGTCAATCAGAAAGACCATGTCATGTGTAAGCCTTACGTGGGTTCTGCGCATGCGTGCCGTTCGAGTCTTCTAATGATCCTGTTCTTGTTTATCTCATATATAATGTATTGACTTTAAAGCTGCACATCTAGCACCGATGATTATTTTAAAGGAAAGGTTCCCGATCACATCACGTTTTGCGACTGTAAAAAAAAAAAAACTAAAATTTCCTCAATAAATAATGATCGGTTTTTTTTTCCATCATTTTGTCATTATCAGGGTGCATCACGAAGTTTCAACTACGTAATGTTTATCTTTTTCAGACGATGACGTTGAATATTTACGAGTCCCCTTTCGAAGTGCTATTGCGCATGTCCGATTAAGTCATTTCGTGATTGACGGGTTGTAAAGTTTTAGTTTGCATGAAATGAAGGCAGCCAATAGGATAGGACTGCAAAAGCTTAATCGTTCATTCAGCCTGAGTGAGGGTGGGGAGGTTAGCTAAAGTTCCACTTTCAGATCGGTCGAATCTTGAATAAATCCGTTTAAACCGATTATACGCCACATTTTCTGGCGCATAAGCTCGACCAAAAGTTGGAACGCTTCAATCAAACGCAAAAGCTGCACGATCATTTTTTTGTTATGAAGAAATTGAATACAATCTATAAGGAGATGACACGACTGCCTATGGGGTTATGAAGGCAGAGCGCAACCCGGAAACTATCCTGATTACGGCTCTTCAAAATAGACAGAGACTCTTGAGGTTGAAAGAGTTAATGTTAATTTTTTTACAAAAATTTTTTTTGTCCACTATGATCGAGAACGTTCCACTTATCGCCAGACTCCAGCTCAGCGTTAAGTAATTCCTGATGACTAAGTCAACAGAGAGAGTATTTGTCGACCAAATCACGTCCAAGGTCAGCAAGTAGTTTTACTCCAACCGCGCAACCAAAGGAGGTGGCAACTGAACAGTAGCGGTCTTTCAAAGGCCAACTAGGTAGTACTCGCAGCAGCAGTTTCTGTACGTTCAATTCTTCATCCATCATGTACAGCTCAGGAATGTTAAAACAAAAAAAATTAACGTTTGAATAACAAAGAAAGCCTTTGAACTCTAAACAAATCATTGTTGACATTGCCAAGCCTGATCTCATCTTAAGGAAATACGTAACACCTTCCCCTCCAAAATTACTTTTTTCAACAACAGGCATTTTTTAAATTTTTTTTTTCTTAACAGCAAGACTGGATTGAACTTTAACTTTCCAGCCGGGTCTCGCATCTTCCTTAGGGTGCTCGTCTCAAGTTCATAATTTTTAACGTTTAGTTTTGTTGATAAAACTTAACGCTAAAAACTTTCCACCGTTAACAGTTCGTTTAGCAGAGAACACAGCCGTTGTTTCCCTCTTTTGTTGTCTATCACTTATTTGCTGTCATAAATATAATCATATATATAATTTATCTTTGCATCGTTCTTATAGTTTTCGTTTCACATCGTTTAGGTTCGATCTCGCTGTCAAATTATTGCGCATGAATCGTACTCTATCTAGTAAACAAGTCTTTATTATTTACAGATTTAAAGATGCCTCCACTTTGTTTCTTTATACACGTTGAGTTAGTTATGCGCAAAATTCCAAATATTTCAAGGGCTCTGTGGAACCTCAGCTTGTCGATGCCTAATTGTCGGGTTTTCAACACGCAAACTGTTAGTTTCTCTGCACCTTATCTGTTTCAAGCTGAGCGCTTTTCGTCCAAACACTTTGGAATAAAACTGCTCTGACGAGACACGAGACAGCCCCCTGTAACTTTGCGCAACATGGCTGCAATCATGAGGGTTTTGCTTTAAAAAGGGGCATTGTATAGCGCAGAGAATGGCTATACAAAGCAATTAATAGCCCAGAAAATGAAGCATTCATCGGCAAGGAACCTCGTCACTTAAAATGAGGGTTAAACATTACTTTCCGCATCACGACACGGTCATCAAAGCATCCGAAGGGTGATAACTGCGTGGCTTCGAAACATTTAGCAATCGTTTGGTTTGAAATGGGTATTTTCACCCGTTTTATTAAAACTGTACTCGATCACAAAATCCATCTTAGTTCATGATCAGTCTAAACGTCTTCAATCCGAAAGTAAAAAAAAATAATAGTAAAAATTGAAAAAAAGGGTATGCAAGTTTCCGAGAGCTGTTTTTACCAATATCCGGTCTGAGCCGCCAAGGCTGTTAACAAAACTCTGCAGTTTATTTACATACAAAATCAAAAAGCAGGAATTTAGGCTGTGGCTTGTTAATTCTACTTTAATTATAATTACATCTCGCGTGTCCGTTGCCGCCATTATGCGGAGAGTCTTTGAAAATTCGCCTTTAATATCAAGCCACCGTGAGATAATGACTAATCAAAATCTGATAATTTGCCCTCAAACTGACATTAATCCCTCTTCATAAAAAAACGGAATTAACAGATTAGTAGTGATTTCTTTGACGCCATTCACAACAAAGAGAGATATCTCGTAAATCTTATTACACTCACTTAGGCTGCTTATGGTTTTTTGGAGCCTTCTAGTTTAAGACCCCTTTAACTTGTCCAAATTGTTTTTGTTCCTCTGATTTCCGATGCTTTAGATTCCAATTATTAGTTAATCGTATCACATTAAGACCAAGACTATTCAAATTAGGTGGTTTCACGCATTTTCTCCTATGAACACAGAATCGTCGGACTAAGTTAATTGTCGTGGTTTCACGCAATCGTTCTTTGCCTTATGAAGATTAAGTGGAAGTCGAAGTTCAACTAAACAGTCTTTGTCAACGAATATCTCCTATTATTATTATTTACAGGCTCCTTAATGATTTTTAAACATGGTTATTTGTAAACAATAAACGATCAGCCTTACACAAATGTTTTTCAGCCGCCTCGGTTAAAATGTAACTTCGAAGTTCGATTTCTCTTCTGCGTCAAATTAAAATACGTTATTGACACTGAGTGATACTTCACCCTAGTTCTGTTCTAATATCTATTACGCGGATTTTCAACTGAAGCCTGTCTGTCTTTCATGACGCAATAAATATGTCTACGAAATGCATGAACAAAGTTCACATTCAAGGCTCTGCTCTCGTTCCGAAACGATGCCGGAGAAGCTCTAAAATTGCAGACCCGTGAAATTAACTCTGTAATGATGTTTTTTTTCCTTTCCCACGTCAAGTTCACGGACAAACTGGCCGGAACCGCCGATTACACGTGCGCCTGACGTTGTAATTTAGTAAAACAGGAACACACGTGTTAATATACATTGTACATTTCCGTTTCATAGTGTTCGTGGTAATTGTGTCGTAAATGACACTCCAGTTGAAGTAGCATGTTTGCACTGAATAATGAGTCCTACTTAAAAATCGGTGATCTTTCCTGCTCGATTACTAATAGAACAGTTGATTCTGTGCGAGGAGCTAATGAATATCGCGTGGTAAAGGATCGTGATTCACGGCCTTTCGACGTAACATGTATCCAAACGCACTTTCATCGCTTTGCGTCGGAATTTGTTTACCTTGCCTCAGCAAAGCTATTATATCAAGTCTGGTGCCACTTCACCAACACCAAACCGTGAAAAATCAACACGAAACACCAACAAATATTTTGTGTTCGTACGCCTGCATTACTTAGGAAGTCACTGTGTTGCAGAAATCTTACTTCCACGTGTCTTTTGACCGTCGTTGAGAGCAAACTTGATTCCGTGCGCTCGTTTGCTGACATATCACTCATTCTGGAGGACAGTTTTTTTGTTGTGCGAGTCATTTGTGTAGACAGAATGGTGACATCATGACACTTCTTGCGCCTTCTTTTTTTGTGCTTGTGTGATCTTGGATGCCGAATAAAAAGTCTCTCTTTATTGTAGCCTTTTCTAAAGTGGCACGGAGGTAAAAAATTGGGACATCCAGGCAAAGTGTCTTCAGATGCTCCCATCGGTAAAGTTGCATTCTTTCCGACCATTTCCACAATGTCCTTTAGCACACGTTTGTTTTTTTTGATAGGGATTGTTGCTTCTTGAAGGTTATCCAGTTCGTCAACAAGGAATCGTGTTGTGTTGGTCTTTGAGCTAACAGCTCTACGAATGAATGCAATGTATGTTTTGTTTAAGTACGCGGTAGAATGCGTACACAGTCCAGCAAAGCCACTGAAGCCCGAGACATTGATAAATTGAGGCAGTTTTCCTCCCTTGAGGGTACAGTGCACTTCAAAGAGAGCGCTGTATAATTCCTTAGGGTCGTTCTTCGATTTTCGTCTGGGACTCGCCCGTACGGTTCCATAAATCACTATGTCAGCTTTTCCAACTCGCGCTGTAGCGTTCAGTGGAAACCAACCCTTTGGCGGCGAACAAGTCAACGCACCCAAAATAAAGCTGAGCAAAATCCCCGAGAGAATTACGGCCTGCGCGAGTTTCATTTTCAAACGCTGCAACAAAAGAAGTGCAAAAGATCCGAATCAAAGGTTGACGATCAAGCGCGCTAGGAACTTGTCATGTAAAGAAATTTTACGTTGTAGGAGAGTTTGAAGTTAACGCATCAAATGACATGGGACAGATTGGAAGGGGCGGCGCGAAAGCTTTGTGGAAAAACTCCGCGGGGACCCGTTTGAGTAAACATCTCGCAATAATTTGTTGATCCAGGCAACTAAACACTGCTAACAGTATTAACTTGCAAATGGCGTACCTCTTGTGTCCGAGCTGTTGATTTCAAATTAATTGTACAAATATTGATCAAGATTGGTCGTTTTCTCGAAACGGGGTCATCTTTAAAGTTGTGAATATGCCTCAAATACCCTCTCAGTGGCTCTGAATTGCACGGAAATCGTGTCGGAAACTTTCAAGATGTTTAACTCAAGGTTATCAGTTCTCGTGCACGCACTTGGGTCGCATTAAGTAATCGGATTAATCTGTTCGCTGTAAAGGGATACATACATGTGGACACATTGGCCTTTGTGTAATCTTCTCTAACATGCTACATCACTTATGTGTAGTGGTAAACGCATTGTTCTTAATTTGATCGTTCTGTGACTCAACTAGTAAATAGTTTGAACAAAAAAAATATGCAAATCAAAGCGTCTTGACGCGGTTCACTGAACGCAATGGAACTAGCACCTTAGCAGGACACGCGAACCCCAAATGACAATCGCACCTTTTTGTACTCTTCTTATCTGGGAATCAGAGATCATCCCTAAAAACCACAGACATTTCTACAGAGATAAGATTGAGCTGTTTTGATAAAAAACATCCCTTGTTCCTCTACCTGCCCTCAACCCAGTTGTTATCCGATAGGGATAGAAATGTTTCTTAAAGATAGCTTTTGTCTTCAACAAAACACACTTCATTTGTTGAAGAATAGCAGAACTAAATGACTTCGAGACCGGAAAAACAAACAGATTGAAAATAACGTCTATCGAAACAACTATCATCCCTTTTCTATCCTCGTCTTGCAAAATTTCTCTAGCAAATCAGCCACGTGAAATGCTTTAAATGTTTAAATGCTGGTCAAAAGGGGCAAGAAGCGAGACAGGTGGTAACATCGTCTTAAACTTGTATCCTTTTATCGCATTTCAACGTAGACTATCTTTTAATCAAAATTCCAAACATTCTAATCCGGTATTTAAGGAAACCAATGCAGTCGTAAACATCTCGGTATTTTGTTTAATAGCATATTCAGTTTCTAAAGAATTGCGTATTAAAAGCGCATTAAATTTAGAACAATACAAGTGGACCCAGCCTAAGCGGTTTTGTCGGATAAATAACGTCCTGTTTAATAGGAGTTCCTGGCAGGAAGCCATAGAAAGACGTAGTTTCCTTCATGGCGTGCGCATAGCTATTTATTTTGTGCCAACTTAATGGACAGAAAAAAATCTCTAAATATTTGAGCGGCTTTGCAGTTTGCACAGGTCAATTGAGAAAACAACGAAGCGATAACATAATTACATTCAGCTGACAAAAGGCTCTATATAAAGCTCAGTCCTGAGGCGTCTAAAAGCTCGCGGAAACATTTAATTAAAACCACTTAAAAGAGATATCCGTTTATCCTTTGATAAGAGCTTTTTCCTTTGTTCTCCATGTGAGATACCTACCGTTCTGCTGAGAGTCCTCGGCGTGTTGCGGCCGCATGATTAGCTCTCGAGCGGGGGGTAAACTGGCAAAATTTGCAGCTAATAATTGTACTTAAAAACTTAACACTGTTGAACATAAAACATGAGCAACTTGTCGATGACAGCGGAGTCTCACCGCGTTTTGATTGACAGCACATCTCTAAAGCGGTTACCCCCGAGAACTCCTTCAGTCTCGTCCCCACTTACTTAGTTTTTTTTTTTCTTTCTTACGAATCAGTTATAAACAGACCAGAGATATGTTGCTGTCAAGCTCAGCGACCACAAAGAGGTACAATTTCATCTCATGGATTTCTGTGAGAGGAACGACTGATCGTCCGACACTTGTCAGCAATACTTTGAAACCTTTCACAATTCTCAGCTTTCACTCTGTTTTTAAGTGATGCCGCGTGATTCAAACGAAAGCTGTTGATTAGTGCTTTCAAGTACAGGGCCATTTGCTGTACCGTACACCGTTCTTCTCTGATGTTTGTGGATTGTTTTTGAATAAAATTCTGTAGATGATATCACGTTCATTTGACCGATTTTTTGACAGCAGCACACTTTGAACGCTCCAAGAAACACTTCAATCTACAAGATCTAGTTTTCAATTCTCCCTACTGGCCACTATACATTCTTTTCAAACTTTGCCAGGAGAGTTTGTTGTCACGTCAGTTAAACATGTTTAAGTTGTTAAGTATGTTTTTCTAATCCCTAGTTTAATGAAATATGTATAGATATTGTTAGGAGAAATTACAAATTTATCACTTTTGTGAGAAAATGACGCTAAGATGCCGTATCCTACTTAGAGGAGTACATAAAAAGTTTTTGGATGATCTTGCTTCGTTAACAGTTCAATAAAATTTGCTGAAAACTTATGTTGTGTGTGATTAGGTTTGTTATAGTTTCAGGCAACAATGACTGGGAAACATAGCATTAATACATTTTTCTTTCCATAAATGTTTCAGATTACATGGCATTCCTTACTCACTCGGACCACAACTGAATTGATTAAGTCGGTGAATATTAATGGTCGCCTTTTCAACTTTCAACTTGCGACAAGACTTCGTCATGGAAAGAATATGTGAAGTCTAACTCCAAGAGAAACGAAGGAAGATGGAACTTAAGAGAAAACATGACTGTCGCAGCTGCTTGGTTTCATTGACGTAGCCTAGCTTGCTACCTCGAGGAAAAAAATGTCAACAGATTAATTACTGATGCTTAATTCAAAAGTGAAATTCTTCATCATTCATTGACTTTGTTGTTAATTTTATTAGTTTTGTACTTGGCACAATCGATCATTTAAAAAAAAATTTTGCGATGCAACTGAAAGAGAGAATCTTATAGGAAACAGCGGACAGAACTTTCCCTTGATGACTTAACAAAAGCAACGTATCAATTACCCCTCTTCCTTTCCCGGTAGCCGACAATTCTGTGGAGCGGAAACGGTACATCAGTAGGAGAGAAGATACTAAACGAACAAAAACCATCGCTCTGGACTGAGCCGTCCAGTTTTTTCAATCTTCTATTTCGAAATCCAAGTACCAGGCTTCCATTTCTTTGCTGTATTTCCGTGTACACTTGAAATAGACTCTTCCCACATCTTCCAGCTCCCTCAGATCTTTCTCTGCACTGGGAGCGTCTGCAGTTTATGGTCCATGTACATATTATATTCTGTGTTCACCTCTAAATATCTTCGTGTGAGGGTTCACTCGCCAAACGCTGAAGATGGAGAAGAGAAGGATTTGGCCGCGACACGATCGCCGATACACAGTGCGGGCTATGCTTTTCTAGGAATATGTTATTTGCGGAAATGCACTGGCATGGGAAATGAATTAATTAAATTACGAGCCGATGTCATTGCACGGGCGGCTGTGTCTCACTCTTGAGATTGGACGTGGAGTAAAAGAAGGAAGAGAGGACTCTTAAATGAAGCAGGTAACATGATAACAAAAATAGCACACCCCATGCACACCCCGGATATGATTCTTGCAATCTAAGTAATAACCGATTTGTTAGATATTTAAACGGTCTTCTACGATCGAATTTTCCTTCATCCCACTGAATTATATTTTGCACTGAATAATCTATGTTTACATGACATTTAAAAGCGTAGTTGTTATGCTGCTCTTAAACACCCCCCCCCCCCCCGCCCCTTCTTCCTCCGCTCCGCTTTCCTCCCCATGTTCCAAAGGTAACTGCTTTGATGAGGATGGTTAGGATAGTTGAAAAAAAAGAGGCTGCTAAACTGAAACTTCCGATCCAATTATGGCTTTGCGGTTGGACTAATTTTAGCCCTTCCAATCTCATTGTTAAGGAATTTCTTTGAATTATAGGCTTATCTCTCTTAAAATCCCATTAAATAATTGAATCTCTCAGTCTATTAGATTTTCGGCGGTTGGTCCTCCCAAACTGCCAGTTTCTTAGACCACATTCCTCTGCGCACAAGTAGTGATAAAAATGTTCAAGATTAATATTAGTATATCATAAATAAAAAATAATAAATAAATAATAAATACCTACAAAAGAAAACGCCGTAAATAGGTGTCAAAGTGAAATTTTTGTGGGTTATTTTCGTTACACGGATCTCCTCGACTGGAGGAACTTCATGGAATTATTGGCTAATCTCACTTAATTCAATTGCATAATTTAATCTTTTGCTCTTCCGGAGTTTCGTGTAATATGTAAATCTAGACTACCAGTTTCTTAAAATAGTGAGAGGAGATGGTAAGGTCTCTTTAGAAAAGCGCGATACGCTGGATGATTGCGACCCTATTGGCTGAGTGGAGGTCAAAGTTTACAGTTTTCGGACAAAAAAAAAGGGAGTTTTTCTCAGACTATGGTCGCAGCGGATTTACAATAATTCAATAAATGCCATGCATCCTGTTAAATTACAATACGATCAATAAGGTTGAAGCTCTTACTTCCCCCTAGGGGTATGCACCGGCCCCCACCCCACTATCCTCAGTCCCTACAAACAACTTCTTTGACGGAAGAAATTCGAAAAACAGATGTGCAGTGAAAAGGCTGTTAAACTGAAACTTCCGATCCAATTTTGGTTTCAAGGGTTATTCCTGGCGCTGAGATTTCCGTCGTTGAAGGAACTTCTTGAGACAGGAGCCATTACTTACGGGCTCCTGCTTGAGATTATTAGCCGAATTTACTTAATCCAATTTCGGATGTAATTTCCTGAATTTCTCCGTTGTCTCTGCTGAAATATGAAAAAATTGATAACCTAGACAGAAAGCTTGATTTTAATGATTCAGTTCTTAGTTATTTATACAGTATAATCCCATAATTGTGAGTGATCACGAAACTATAATTTTTTGGGGGGCTTGTTTCAAACCCTGAGCCGACAGAGGAGTACGTAGTGACTGAAAATTGGAATGCACTCTTAATAAAATAACAACACTCTTTTATTCATTTTTCTTTAGCTGTAAATTAGTTCTTGTCAGCGGCCAAATATTAGATGAGCGCGAGAAGTGAAAGGATTTCTTGGGCGATGCCTCACTATATCAACAGTAAGTCCATTTCCCACAACAATTTGTCCTTTAAAATCTACGAGTTTTCATAAGAATGTCTTGCAAGCTCGTGGAAATCTAGGATCCTAGACTTTCTTGTTGTTAGAAAAGAATTTTTATCAGGGGGTAACAAAGCGACAAGCTGGGGACTAGAGAGGACCAGCGGAAAGCATCGATCGGTGAGGTACTGGGTATAACGAGAAACTGCTGACCACTGAATTTAAGCTCCTTTCCGCTTTTGGTCGGACGTGTGACATTTGAAGGGAACATTGTGGGTTTTGGCCCCAATTTTTCGGGGCAAGGTAGAAAATCGGATGGCAGGCAGATAGAAGTGTATGCCAAGTTTTATTTTTCAATAGCCTATATCAATGGATGCAAAAACACAAAAAAGAGTCGACGTTGCCAAGCGAAAGGCTAGAACAGGTGCTGAGACAATCTGTCATGTACTCTTCGATCATTTATTTCATTCAATTTTGTTATTTCTCTATGCCTTTTGGTTTTTTTCTTCTCTAGTTTACTATTTTCAAATTTACAATTAATAACTTCTTTGTTTTCTGTGTTTTATTTATAAAGATACTGAGTTTGTACAAAGCGAGGTCAATAAGTTATAGATGTTAATTGGCTGAAATGAAAGTAGAACCGCCGAAGTTTACATAAATTTATTTAGGATCTTTATAATGAACTAAATGCAGTTCATATTTAGAATATAAATGTGATTAGAATTAGCGTTGCAGTTCAGAATTTATTTATATATTTGCAAAATGTGTAGATCGCATTTTCTTAAGCTTGTTAACTCATCACGGGCGTTTGATCTTGTGTACTAGAACTAAAAGGAGAGAACGGCTGGACAAAATTAAATTATGTGGAGACATTTGACACAAGTCTTGCAAGTGTCAGAGACAATGTTCCTCGTCTGGACTGCAATAAGATTTCAAAATCAGAGTTTGTAGAGAGATATGAAAAACCTAGAATTCCTGTTGTGTTGACACATGCCATGGATCACTGGAAATCAATGAGAAAGTGGACAACAGAGGTGATCTTTATTAAATAAAATACTTCTGGAGTTTTCTTCTCTGCCGGAAAGGTGTCAATCCCTTACTAGAACCCTTTAATAAGCAACTATTTACTCAAAATCAAGCAGAAAGACCTAACTTTACCTAATGGTCAAAACTTAAAATAACATTTGAATCTTACAGGTAAAAGCATTGGGACAAATTTGCATGATAACAAAATATTTACAAAGTATTTTGCTGACATACCCCTGACTCAGATGATGACCAATACTCAAGTTTTTGAACTTCAGTTATTGTTACCAATATCAGTCTATTTAATTAAGGACCTCTATCATGTGCTCTGATCTGTAGTAAACCTCCCTTTTTTCCTCAGAATATATCTCAACTTTCTATTTTTAACTCTCAAAGAAATATAAGCTTTCCTTCCTTTCTTAAAAGAGAGAATAGGCATGACTTGATCAATAACATTCTTATTATTTTCTTGCTGTCATGTTGGTTTGTTCCAATTATGGACCATTCCACTTCCCGTTTGTGTTTTATGTTACATGTTGGTTTTTCATTGATATTTTATACATATCCTTATCTATAACATACCTATATGTGATTTATAATCATAGAGACTAGTAAAAAAGTACAGACATCAGAAATTTAAAGTTGGTGAAGATGATGAAGGCTATGCTGTGAAAATGAAAATGAAATATTACTCTGAGTATATGGCACATCAAACAGATGACAGTCCATTGTATATATTTGACAGTTCCTTTGGTGAGGTAAGGTGATGCATATCTTTTTTAAAGCAGGCCAGTAGATAACTGTGTGAAAGTACACTATTGGTAGGGTTTTATAATTGTTTGTCTACCCAATGCAGACACTTCTGATGTGGTTGCAATTTTTCAAGTGTGAACAGCTGCTTTTTGGCAGGAACTGGGGTGAACTAGTTATGTGACTCCATCCTTTGTGATTGATTGATTTTTATCAGCTGTGATTGGTTGTAGAACGTAAAAAGATGACCTCCATTAACTCAGATCATCATAAGGGAAGGTATTAATCCTTTATACCCTAACATCAGTATGCATATTCTCCATACTGTTCTCCTTACATTTTCTAAGATGTTGCTGAGAATAATTTGAATAACAATCAAGACTTTCTTTAGTTGGTTATCATTTCCTTTATTCTTGTGACCTTATTGTGAGATTCAGGGGTGATGTTGTAATGAGAAATTAGATGCTGGTCACTATTAGGAGTCAAAGGGTTAACAACCTCACTACTTTATGAAGACAAGCAGCATGGTAACAAAACAATGTGAAGTGGTTGCATTGAGAGGCAAACAGCAGTCTTTTTTTTTTATCTCACCATGATAATAACCACAACATTTTCATACAAACGTTACCAAAATTTGCAGATTTTGTAATTTACCAGCATGCATACAAATGTATGAAGACTAATTTTACACTAAAGGATAGGTCCAAACATGGTTAAACAAACAATTTGTTTGTTTTTTTGCAGCATGCTGAGAAGAAGAGATTGTTGATTGATTATGAGGTTCCACGGTTCTTTGCTGATGATCTCTTTAGATTTGCTGGAGAAAAAAGAAGACCCCCTTATAGGTATAACTAATAAATTATTATACTACAATATGAGTCAAATACCTAGGATATAAAATTATTGTTGTTTTACCTATGTAATGATGAAAAGGACTGTTATTAGTAAACATTAACATAAAATTTATAGTGGTGTATATTTGACAAATAAATTCCATGTTGCCATGTATGTGTTAGTAATAGGTCATAGATGGCAACAAAATGAGTTTAGATAAAAAAAAGTGATACACAAGGCCTGGCTGAGTGTGTCATTGATGTTCTTACCACATTGTGGCATCTTCTGTGATCT